GTCCTCTGCTTCATCTAGTCTACTCTTGATGCTTTCTATTGAGTTCTTCATGGTAGTGATGTTATTTTTTATTTCTTCTTGGTTCTTCTTCAGTTCTTCATGGCTCTTCTTCAATTCCTCATGGTTCTTCCTCATTTCTTCTTGGTTATTGTCAAATTTCTCTTCCATTCTTTTTAGCCAACCTATGATCATTATTCTGAACTCTTGCTCTGGTAGGCTGTTTGCCTCTGACTCGTTTACTTCCTTTTCTGGTGATGCCTGCTTTTCTTTCAGGTGCGGGGTATTTTTTTGTCTTCCCATGGTATCTCTTTTCAGGATGTCTGGTTATGTGGTATTCCTTCCCTTGTGTTGATTTAAAGGTGCAAGATACAACACTGAAATGTGTGGGCTGAAGAGGTAATCTGAATTCGTCTAGAAATGGACATGGCCAACCTTACCTTTGTCAGTTTTTAGTGTTAATTTCAAGGGGATATGTCCTGTTATGGCTGTCCAAGTTGAGGTATGTCTGTCCTTAACCCATGTGTGATGGGTCCAACCTCACTCTGCAGTCCGAACAGCAGACTCAGTGTAAGCAAGACAAGGTAGGATCCTTCCCAGGAGGGTTCCAACTTGCTTTCCTCTCTAATTACTTCTTGATGGTTGAAAAATAAATGAAAGAGTTCCTCTGAATTAGTGTGCCCTACAGTAGCCGTTTCAATTAGTTTGGCCATACTTGCCACATAGGTTAATGGGCTGCATAGCAAAGTCTGTCAATGCATAGATAAGAGCTGGTATTTCTACCTGTTGTGCTGAAATATAAGGGGTCTGAAGGACATTTGCACCTCTGCTGCAGTAGAACTAGCCTTTCCAGAACTGGATTCATCTGTAAAAATGGTTAATGCTGCCAAAACCAGTATGGCTCAGCGGATACAGCATCGGTCTGCGGACTGAAAGGTCCCAGGTTCGATTCCGATCAAGGCATGTACCTTGGTTGCAGCCACATCCCCAGTAGGAGGTGTGCAGGAGGCAGCTGATCAATGTTTCTCTCGCATCGATGTTTTTAACTCTCTATCCCTCTCCCTTCCTCTCTGTAAAAATCAATAAAATATTTTTAAATGGTTAATGCCTGAGGTATAAGTTGTGACTTCACTATCTTTGAGAAGGTAAAGGTAGTGACTGAGATAAATTGTAAATCCTTATTTGCTGGGTGATGGTTACCAACCAGTCCGGAGAAATTAGCAAGTGCAACTTGCCAACTTGTTGATCGTTTCCAGAGCCGGTCTTGCTGAAAAGCAGTAAATGGCACCACAAGGTCAGGGTCTTGCCATTACTTGGCCTGTTCGAAGGCGGGCTTGAGCTATTTGCTTGGAAACCGAATCAAAAAAAGAGTTAATACCTTAGTTGGAGAATGAGCCAAATATAGCCAACAACCCCAGGAGCTGGCCAAATGACCCCAGTGGGAGTATGTGTCGTAGGGAAAATTAAAACCTGTAAGGGAAGGGAGTAATCAATTCTAGTAAGCTGTGCTGAACTTAAAGCATCCTTAACTTTAAGTAAGGTTGTCTTGGCTTCCTCTGTCAAGCAGCGTGGGGATGACGGAGATGAATCTCATCTTTGTTTATTAAATAAAGGGCTTAAGTCAGCAGTGGTTAATTTTTTTAAATATATATATTTTATTGATTTTTTACAGAGAGGAAGAGAGAGGGATACAGAGTTAGAAACATTGATGAGAGAGAATCATCGATCAACTGCCTCTTGCACACACACACACACACACACCCCGGGGATGTGCCTGCAACCAAGGCACATGCCCCCAACCGAAATCAAACCTGGGACCCTTCAGTCCGCAGGCCAACGCTCTGTCCACTGAGCCAAACCAGTTTCAGCAACAGTGGTTAATTTTAAAGCAGGTCGAACCAGTTAATATGTCCTAATAATTTTTGGAAGTCATTTAATGTAAGTAAAGTGTCAGTTCAAATTTGAATTTTCTTAGGTTTTATTGTTTCCCCCCCAATAATGCTGCCATGATAAGAACCTTTTTGGGTTCTTTGCATAATCCAGCACAATGCAGAGAATCCTGTAAAATCTATAGATATTATTTAGATGTGTTTCACTTTCATGAGCTAAGAGAATATCATCCATATAATGAATAATATAAGCCTCAGGATATTTTTTCCTTTTAGGATGTATGGCTGCAGCCACAAAATCCTTACATAAAGTAGGACTATTGGCCATTCCCTGTGACAAGCAATACTTTAGCATATCTCCACTCCATCATCCTAAACCCAACAGCGCTGTTCCCTTGCTTCCTCCAATCCTCACTCATCTTTGGGAGGAAGTGCATAGTCCAGAGAGTTCTCTCCCACAGGAGCTGTAGCCCCAGGGACTGGAGGGGTCAGCGGAGGAGCCGATGGTGGAGTTGGAAGTCTCTGGCAGCCTTCCCCCATCTGTCTCAATTCCCCTGACACATTCACCCACTCCCCTTTTGGAGTGGGTTCTAGACAGTCCCAAATCAGGGACCAGAGACTGAAAGTAGAGGCAGGCATTTCCTCTGGACCTTCAGCTATATAATGATCGCAAATTTGTTTCCTATCTTTTCCCATGCCTCTATATTTACCTTTTCTTCCTCAGAAAACTATGTGCAGGTTTTACTCACAAAATCCAAAAAATTGAAAAGCTGTTCATACCACACAGAACAGCCCCTTGCTTGGAGCATAGCCTTAAGCATAGATTCGCATACATTCTTTTCCTGTGATCCTGAATTTCCCATGCTTTACACGAAGCCAGTATTACACCCCTACCTTACTCACTGTGTGTGCATGCCTTAGGGCCTCCTTTCACCTGACAATTGCAGTTCCCTCACACTCAGGTCTGCATTGAGTGCCACTTGGGTGGAACTCAGCCCCACATTGGGCACCACTTGTGTTGTGCAAGCACAGCCAAGGGTTTGGTGAGCCTGAGGGAGGTCCGGTGAAGGATAAAGAAAAGACAAAGAGAATAAGCTGGGTCTAGGTGGATTTTCTGTGCCTGGCTGAGGCCTCAGAATAGATCCAGACTGCAAGCTGATGGCTTATTTTATAACCGTAGGTAAACAAAGTAATTTACAATGTTGTTGTAAGTTTCACTCGTTTTGGCAGCACTTGCTGCCCCTCCCACAGCCCATTAGCTACCCAGGAAAGAGCTAGGGAGAAATCACAGATCAAGCTTAATTATGCTGAGGGGTGTGCCCTCTAAGCTGGGACCTGTCTGTGGTTTTGCCAGCAGGCCACTTCGAGGCTTAACCCTATAACTGCTTCCTATAGTTTATCAGATCTCAGGATGTCCAATAAGCAATTGGATCACTGAGTCTGAAGCTTAAGGCAGAAGTTGAGAGCAACAAGAGACATGGAGGGATCTTCATCACTTATGGATGGCATTTAAAATTATTAAACAGCCTGGCTGGTGTTGGTCAGTAGTTGAGCATGGACAGGAGGTCATGGTTGGATTCCCTGTCAGGGCAGGAGCTGGGGTTGCAGGCTGAATGCCCAGTAGGGGACATGCAGGAGGCAGCCATCGATGTTTGTTTCATTGATGTTTCTATTTCTCCCCCCCCCCCTTGCTGAAATAAATAAAAATAACTAAAAATTTAAGAATATAAAAAAATAAAGACATGAGGTAATAGATTCACATAAAGAAGAGTATCCATGCTGAAACCAATTTGCTTCAGTGGATAGAGTGTCGGCCTGTGGATTGAAAGGGGTGTGTAGGAGGCAGCAGATAGATGTTTCTTGCTCATCGATGTTTCTAACTTTCTATCCTTCTCCCTTCCTTTCTGTGGAAAAAAAAAAAAATCCATATTTTTTTTAAAGAAGAGTGTCCAGCCGAAACCGGTTTGGCTCAGTGGTAGAGCCTCGGTCTGTGGACTGAAACATCCCAGGTTCGATTCCAGCCAAGGGCATGTACATTGGTTGTAGGCACATTCCCGGTAGGGGGTGTGCAAGAGGCAGCTGGTCGATGTTTCAATCTCATCGACATTTCTAGCTCTTTATCTCTCTCCCTTCCTCTCTGTAAAAAATCAATAAAATATGTTTTAAAAAAGAGTGTCTAATAATGGGCCCCAAAATATTTCAACATCTAGACTTCAGGAGGAGGCACCAGGAAGAGGGGAAAGGGGCAGCCATGGAGATGGAAAGGAAATCCGAAGAGCAGTGTCCCGAAAGAAAGCAAAGGCAAGAGGGGGTGACCATTTGTATCACAGGCTGCTAGGAGAGAGAAGGGAAAGGACTGAGAACTGACCCTAATCTGTGGACCCTTAGCAAGGGCGACTTCAGGCCACCATGGAGACAAAGGCATGACCTAGTGGCTTAAGGAGAGAATGGGAGCGGACAGGGCTGACAGGCACGTGCTGCCACACCTGCTAAGTGGTAGTGTTAGAAGTGAACCCAAAGCTTGGTTATGGGTGTATATAGGCCAGAATGTACCAACGTGTACGTTTTGCAGTCTGCCTGCTAATTCATTGTATGTGCATGCTATTGTACACTACAGCTAGGAAAGCTTTTCCCAAAACGCTCCACCGCTCCATGGCAGGCCTGCAGTGGACACCTCAACACCAGACCGACAAGTCCTCTGGAGACACTGCGCCTTTCGGTCCCTCACGCAGACGTAGAGGGCTGGTCGGAAGTAGCAACCACTTAAAAAGAGAAGAAGCTGCGTCCAGGCCTTCCTACTCGTCAGGAATTAGTGATGCGACGTCAGGGATCCCCAGCATGGCTGCCCAGACCTTCAAACACGCAATGCCGAGGTCCGGAGCCCGCAGACGCCCGCCCGCGCAGGCCCCGCCCGTCCAGCACGCCCCTCCGCCGCGGACACGCCCCCTCCGCCGCGGACACGCCCCCTCCGCCGCGGACACGCCCCCAAGATGACGCTAAGTCGCGTTACGTGAACCGCCCGGGGGCGGGGACGGTGTGGAGGTGCCGAGACCCACGCTACCGGAAGCGGAAATAGCACCCGGCGCCGCCAGAGTAACCGTGCCTGCCGCCGCGATGCCGAAAGGTCCCAAGCAGCAGCCGCCGGAGCCCGAGTGGGTCGGGGACGGAGAGAGCACGAGCGCCGCAGGTGAGGCTCGTGGCCGGGCGCGGAGGGGAGAGGGAGGGTCGGCTTTAGAGGGTCGCGGCCGCGCCGGCCCCGCGGGCTCCTGCGCATGCGTGCACGGGCGGAGCCTTCGCCGGCCGCGGCGGCCGGCTGGAGGCGAAGGGAAAGGTGACGCGTGTGGCGCACGAGCTTCAGAGCGCCTGGGAGAGCCGGGCGCCTGGGAGAGCCGGGCGCCTGGGAGAGCCGGGCGCCTGGGAGAGCCGGGGGCGCCTGGGAGAGCCGCGGGGCGCCTGGGAGAGCCGGGCGCCTGGGAGAGCCGGGCGCCTGGGAGAGCCGGGGGGCGCCTGGGAGAGCCGGGCGCCTGGGAGAGCCGCGGGGCGCCTGGGAGAGCCGGGCGCCTGGGAGAGCCGGGCGCCTGGGAGAGCCGGGGCGCCTGGGAGAGCCGGGCGCCTGGGAGAGCCGGGAGAGAGGGGAGGCAGTAAGAGCGCGCACCCCCTGCTCGCCGCCCTCGGAGCCAGGACCCCACCTCCTCCTCTAGCTCCCTCCTGGCTTTCTTTTTGAGAAAGGAAGGCCCTCAGGCCCGGCGCTGGCCCAGGGTCCCCGGAGGGCGGGCTGTAAAACCAGGCCGAACTCCACGTGACGCCTCAAGTTAAAGCCAGCCCCTGACGCCAGCCACATTCCTCTTACCGAGCCTCGGCTGGCCGGTTGGCTTTTTAAGATCTCACTTTCTAAAAGCTCTTCCGTGCTTGAAAGCTGCCCTGAGGAGGGGGGGGACCAGCTGGCAGGTCCCGGGGCTCTCAGGCCTGGTGAACAGCATCCAGGGTGCCAGTTCACTGAGCGTCAGGTAAACGGTATCATTTTTAGTAGACGTGTATTCCACGAAATGGAGAGGTTTCTGGAATTCCGATCTGGGGCCCAAATCCCCAGCACATGAGTTTTATCCACAGAAGCTAATGGAACGGAGGCGCCGCTCTGTGGGAAGGTATAAGAAATAAAGTTCTAGTGAAAAAAAATAAAATAATAATAATAATTTCGGCACAGTCAGAGTTCGACAAGACGTTTTCTTTTAAATGTGTTAGATTCTCGCCGAATTGTAAGAGGGGCATTTCTTTAGCGTGACCTGACTTCTGACCTATTAAGAACACAGCTCGAGAACCTTCCCAAGCCCTTGGACCTGACAGGGTGGTCCTCAGCTCTGGCTGGGCATTAGCATGCCCGGGGAGATTTTAAAAATTCTCTTGACGGGCTGACAGCCCCCTCCCCGCTTTCCACGTTGGGGTTTAACTGCCCCGAGGGTGGCCAGGCGTCCAGACGCTGGAGTGCTCCCAGGTTTGCTGATGTGCAGCCGGGGCTGGGCCTGGCAGCCAGGCGGGAAGTGGCTGTCGGGCTTGCTAACCCAGGTGCTGGGTACCAGGGCGGGCTGCTGGGCGGCTGGTGGGTTTTCCTGAGGTGATTTCGGATGGCAAGAAGTTAGCAGATCCCTTGACCCCAGGATGCCAGGCCAGATGCCTTCAGGAACTGGCGAATCCAGCTCTTCTCACCAGCCTGAGGGTCAGCAGTCGTGATGGGCAGGTGTGCCCGCAGTCAGTGGCAGTGGGAGGAGGAGCAGCAGCACGGAGTGGCCGCAGGAACTGGGTTTTTCCTCGGGTGGGTCAGGGATGCCTCAGCTCCTCCCCTGTGCGTAGCCAATCCGACACCAGCCCACAGTCGGGAGGCCCCAGGTGCCATTGCACCGGGAGTCTGCTCGGGCCCCTCCGGAGGGCGGTGTGGGCTTTGGTTACAGTGAGGGCTCCTGGGCCTGTGCTCTGCGGGCGGGTGGAGGGGGTTCAAACTCGAAGGGCTAATCTTAGATGTGATTAGAAACGGAAAGTTTTTGGATGGTCACCAGACAAGGAATGACTGTTGTCCCAGCAGATCTGCAACGACTCTTTTAAAGGCCCGAGGTGGATGTTAGATTGAGGAGAGGCCATTCCACTCTCATCTCCCAGCCTGTCTTCCTCTGTGACCAGGCAGCCCCCAGGGCTGACATCCAGGCTGGGAGACGGGCATGCGTGCTGCGTGCGGGCTCGGGAGAGGGGCCATGGCCTCCCCGCCGCTCTGAGCAAGTCCCTCCTTCCCGGACCCTGGCACCTCTGGGTCCTGCCCTCCTGCTCTGTGTGTGCATGAGCGATCGGGAGCAGGCGGCCAGCACCATGGCTGCTCCCCAGGAGAAATAGGCTACTTCCTAGAAAGTTGTTTCTGAAAGCGTAAACCCTGGTGGAGCTTGATGGCCATGACTTTGTTGCTCTGACCTTGTGCTTCTCTTCCCATTGGGACTGTAACCGGGAGATGCCTGCCCCAAGCCCCCAGGAGGGGTGGCTGGGAGTGACACCCGGTCCCCCTGCAGGATCTGAGTGCTCTTGTCCCAGGAGCCCGAGCCTCCGCCGGGACCCGCTGTTCCCTGCTGCCCAGGCCGCCTTTGTCCGCATGGTTTGGGGTCATCGTCCTTGTGCCTTTTTCTTCCCTGCCACCCTGTGCGGGACTCCCCCCTGCCCTCCCGTCCCCGGCCCTTCCCGAGCTGTAAACGTGCACATGGTGCCTCGTCACGTCCGGCCCGCTTTCCCGGGTCCCAGCACGGACTTTTCCATTTTGGTCTTAAGCTTGGGGGTCGGGCCCATTGGTCCCTCGTCTAGCCTGCAGCAGAAAGGTGCGGAGCCTCTCGGTGGCGGTGTCAATGTTTATAGGCGGTAGAGCACCGCCCAGGCTGGGGCTGGGCTTCAGCCGGCTCCTTGGGCCCATCGCCCCCGCCCCCAGGCAGCCGCTGCCCTGGTGTCCAGAACGGCTGCGGACAGGTGGGCAGAAGGAAGAGGCTTCTCGCTGCCCGCCTGCCGGTAACAACTGCCAAGCTCTCCCTCATCTGCTGACGGTGCTCAGCCCTGGGTGCCACTGGTGCCATATCCCCCACTGCTGTGGCAACCGAGGCCACACCGGGCGTGGCTGCAGAGGCCCTCGCAGCCTGCTGGCTCCCTTCCTCCCAGCTCTCACCATCCTGGGGGAGGGGCTGGGGAAGGGGGTTCCACTGGAATAAGCTGCGCGTGTGGCCTCAGGTCCAAGGGGTGGTGGATGGCTTCGACTCGGGTCCCACCTGAGTCTTTATTTTTTTTTTTATTTTTTTTTTTTTTTAAATATATTTTATTGATTTTTTACAGAGAGGAAGGGAGAGAGATAGAGAGCTAGAAACGTCAATGAGAGAGAAACATCGACCGGCTGCCTCTTGCACACCCCCCACTTGGGATGTGCCCGCAGCCAAGGTACATGCCCTTGACCGGAATCGAACCTGGGACCTTTCAGTCTGCAGGCCGACGCTCTACCACTGAGCCAAACCGGTTTCGGCCCACCTGAGTCTTTAGCCCCAGGAGCCTCCATCTGGAAGCCGGCTTAGCTCTCAGCCCTCAGGTTCAGGGGAGACCTCCGCCTCCAGGCCCCAGGGGCGGAGAGTGGGGTGAGGCCCCACGGCTGTGAGCCAAAAAGAAACAGGCTCTCAGAGGCAGGCCCCTCGGGAACTCGTGTACAGACCGCGGTGTAAACAAACAGTTTGCTTTTCTTGGGGGGAGGAAATATATATATATATATATATATATATATATATATATATATATATTTTATTGATTTTTTACAGAGAGGAAGGGAGAGGGATAGAGAGTCAGAAACATCAACGAGAAACATCGATCAGCCGCTTCCTGCACACACACACACACACCCCCCACACACACACACACCCCCCCCCCGACTGGGGACGTGTTTGCAACCAAGGCACATGCCCTTGACCGTAATAGAACCAGGGACTCTTCAGTCCGCAGGTCAAAGCTCCATCCACTGAGCCAAACTGGTTTAGGGCCTGGCTAATGTGTTTCAGTGATTAGAGCATCAGCCTGTCAATAGAAAGGTCATGGGTTCGATTCCCAACCAGATTGGAGCACCTGTGGGAGGCAACAGTCAATGTCTGCTGCTCTCTCCCCCTCCCTACCTCCTTTCCACTTTAAAAAATCAAGGGGAAAATATTCTTGGATGAGGATTAACAACAACAAAAAAGACAAGCTAGTTAGGCCTGGGGGCAGGGTGGGAGGGAGGGAAAGGATGGAGATATCTAATGCTACCAACGATAAAAATATTAATAATTTTTTAAAAGAAACAGGCCTTGCTTTGAAGGGGCACCCAGTCCAGCGGAGGGAACAGAGCGGTAATCAGACAGTAGCTGGCAGTGTTTTATGAGGAGCTTGGGAACGCTGCAGAGCTGGGGAGGGGAGAAGAGGCAGCTACTCAGACAGGCATGGGAGTGTCAGCAAACGCCCCAGGATGTGTGAGCTAAGTTCCATTCTTTTTTTAAAAAAAAATATATACTATTGGTTGTTTACAGAGAGGAAGGGAGAGGGATAGAGAGTTAGAAACATTGATGAGAGAGAAGCATCGATCAGCTGCCTCTCGCACACCCCCTAACGGGGATGTGCCTGCAACCAAGGTACATGCCCTTGTCCGGAATCAAACAGGGGACCTTTCAGTCCACAGGCCGACGCTCTATCCACTGAGCCAAACCGGTTTCAGCTAAGTTCCATTCTTAGAGGATCAGTTCAAGTTTGTCAGGGGAAGAGTATTCCAAGCAAAGGAAGCTGTGTGTGCAAAGTTGGAAAGATGTGGATACAGATAATGAAAGGCTTTGTACACTATTATGAGGAGTTTAATCCTAAAGCATTAAGAAGACCTATTGAGGTGCATAAGGGTAGATACAGTTAGTTCACCCCGACAATACTGATCAGTGGCGAACAGCTTGAACAGGTAGCGAGCAGAGGCAGGGAGACTTGCAGCGTCTTGCCATGACCCAGATGAGACATAGCAAGAGTAGGGCCCCTGTTCCCGGGCCTTTGCTGACACTCCCACTGCCTGTGTGTGAAGACTAACTAGCGATCACAGAAACGGCATTGGCCAGAACTGGATTCTGGTGATGGAAGAGAGAGGAATTAGGGCTGACACTAGCTTAAGGAACTCAGCGTGTAATAGAGTATTAATTAAAAGTAGTATGTGTTGCCGAAACCGGTTTGGCTCAGTGGTAGAGCGTCGGTCTGCGGACTGGAAGGTCCTAGGTTCGATTCCGGTCAGGGGCATGTACCTTGGTTGCGGGCAGCTGATCGATGATTCTCTCTCATGGATGTTTCTAACTCTCTATCCCTCTCTCACACACACAAAAAAAAGTATGTGCTATAGGGTGGGGAGTGGTACGAGGTAAGTTTTTAATCCTGAATTGGAACTTTCTGTGGAATTTCTAAGAGGAAATGGCAGGGGAGAGCCTGTTTAATGGCTGTAGAGAGAGAGAGATCTATACTAAAAGGGAAGATGCGACCCGGCAGGTTTGGCTCAGTGGATAGAGCGTCGGCCTTCGGACTCAAGGGTCCCGTCAAGGGCATGTCCCTTGGTTGCGGGCACATGCCCAGTAGCGGGTGTGCAGGAGGCAGCCGATAGATGTTTCTTTCTCATCGATGTTTCTAACTCTATCCCTCTCCCTCCCTCTCTGTAGAAAATCAATAACATATTTTAAAAATAAATAAAAGGGAAGATACAGTTGAGTATGGTTGAAGTGTTGGATATGGATGCAGATTGAAGCAAAAGGGGGCAGGAGATGAAGATCCAAAATAATCTCAACAATGAAGGGAAATAGAGAAAGGAGGCGGGGAGATAACTAAGAGGCAAACCAGGAGCAAGAAGGGTTCCTGTCAAATGAGAGGGGAGAGAAGTAAAAGGTACGTAGAATGGAATGTTGCAGAGAAGTTGAGCAAATACAGACTAAAAATGTACTTTTTGGCTGAAAATTAAGGAGACAGCAACTTTGGCTGAAAAATTAAGGAGAAAGCAACTTTGTCAAAAGTATCATTGGGAGGCGATTTCCAAAGCAGATTGTAGGGTGTTTGAAAAGGAGTAGGAGACAAGGAGATGGTATGGACTGTGCTTTTCAGAAGACAGGATAGAAAACAGGCTGAAGGAGAATTGTAAGGTTAAGTAAAGCTTTACTGGTGAAGCTAGGAGCAGTTTGAGTGATGTGTAAGGGGGAGGAGATAACAGCTTTAGCCACCCTTAGTCTTATCTTGTTTCTTGGTGTGTATGCTTTCTCACCATTGATCCTGTGCAAGGCTTTCCTCCCTGTAGCCAGGAAGGTCAGAGTGGTGTTTACAAGAGATTTAAAAGGAGAGGTGGGACCGTTGGGTTAGTCCTTGGGGAGAAAATAGCATCTGGGCTTTGTCATTCCTAGATACTAGCAGGATTAGCTGATCATGTCTTTCCTTCTTGTGTACCTCAATGGATCCTCCATAATATCTTTAGGATTAGATTCCTTGGAATCCTATGTAATAAAAGCCTAATATGCTAAGTGTCCAGTCGTCTGTTCAACCAATCAAAGTGTAACATGCTAATGATATGTTAAGGCTACTCAACCGTTTGCTATGATGTGCACTGACCGCCAGGGGGCAGATACTCCAGTTGGTAGGATAGCTTGCTGCTGGGACTGAGCGAGATGGGCCAGACACGCCCCGGAGTCCTCCTGAGGCCTACCCAGCTGGACAACCTCCCAGTTCCCTTCCCAGCTTTGATTGTGCACCAGTGGCCTGGCCTGCGCCCTCTTGAAATCCTGGACCCCTCGGGATGTCAGAGAGCCAGTTTCGGTAGGAGAGCTGGTTTTGGCCTGATCCCACAGGCCAAGTTGAGGGACCCCACGAATTCATACACAGCCTTTCATTATTTCTCCTGCACATCTTTGCCACTCTATCACTAGTCACCCCGTGCCTAGACTAAATTGTGAAACGTGTTCTGGATGGAGGGCTTCAGCATGCCTGGGGCTAAATCAAGGAGCCAGGAGAAGCCACTGTCTAGGACATGGGTAGGGAAACAGCTATAGCAGAGAGGGTGGGATGGGGCCCTTTTAGTCAGAAGGGATTGTCCTCATCAATCACCAGTTTTGGACATAGTAGATGCACACTAAAATTTCCCTAGTAGCTAGAGAGAGAAAAGACAAAATAAAATAAAATTTCTCTAGATAAATGATGGCTGTGGGTTACATGGAATTCTGGTCTGAGCAGTACTCACTGTGATAGCAGGAAGCCATTAGTTTTTTTGTTTGTTGTTGGTGGTTTTTATTTCTTAAAGCTAAGTGATTACAGGAGTGCTTTTGGATTGGATGGCATGGTTTGGAGGGAATGTGATGGCAGACAGACCTAGACGTGAAGAGAAGTCTCAAAGCTGCTGGTTGCCTTCCAGTCTGATGGTAGACGTAGTTCACTGCCTTCAGGGGAACTGGATAGACCGAGTGGAAGACTGGAATTCGTTCAATCAGAAAACTCCTACCGACTTCCCTTCTGCGCCCGGAGCGCCGCGGGCGACTGCAGTGGCAGCCTGTGCCCCGTGTCACCGGTGTGATGTGGGCTGAGCGCTGAGCGAGCAGAGAGGTGGGACGTAGACCCGGTGTCCGTGTCCTCCAGAGCCCTCTGCGGCTGTGGTTTCACAGACACCGTGTCCCAGCGGAATTCACAGCTCTTGGTTCTGCCTCGGATTGCAGGACCTAACGTTAAGAGTGGTACTGGTCGCCCAGTTTTGCTGGCTACGAATACTGGAGTCATTCAAACTGCTGTCTCCATTCCCTTCTCAACCTTCACTCTTGGAATTCTGCTTTCTCCCTCCCGACTGCCGCCTACACCAGCCACCTCTGTCTGTCGTGTGTGACAGTGCACATGTGTAAAGAATGACAATTGAAGGAGAAAAAAACAGTAAAAATGGGTCAGGGCCATTTGAGGTCTTTGCAGGGGAGATCAGGCTGCTTCGAATTTGCAGGGGAACATTCACAATGTCTGCTTCGCCTTCTAGACAGAGTGGTGAAGAAAGGGAAGAAGGACAAGAAGAACAAGAAGACGGTGAGGAAATGAGGGCTGAGGATGAACTTGATCCAGGGTTTCTATGTGAAGGAATTGGAAGGTCTGGGGAGGAAGCTTGTCAAGAGAGGAAGCAGGCGTGGATGGGAGGGAGGGCTTGGCCCTCTGAGCTCTGCTGACCTGTACCTGAACTCTTGCCAGTTCTTTGAAGAGCTGGCGGTAGAAGATAAACAGGCTGGGGAAGAAGAGAAAGCGCGCAAGGAGAAGGAGCAGCAGCAGCAGCAGCAGCAGGTACAAGTGTTGAGCCCGCCAGACCTTGTGGGCTTGCCACCATGTGGGTGCAGCTGAGAGGAGCGCTCTGGGGCAGAGGGGCAAGAGGGACCTGCGCCTCCGACTCAGTCTCTGCTTTCAGCAGCAGAAAAAGAAACGAGACACCCGGAAAGGCCGGAGGAAGAAGGATGTGGATGATGATGGCGAGGAGAAGGAACTCCTGGAGCGCCTGCAGAAGCTCTCGGTGCCCGCCAGTGACGACGAGGAGGGAGACGGTAATGACGGGGGAGGGGCGCCTCATTCCTCCATCCAGGAGTCGTCATTCTCTTCCTGCCTCATCTTATTGCTCTGTCATTTCAGTTCCTGCCCTGAAATCCCGAGGAGGGAAGAAAGCCAAGGTAAGCCATCTCTCGGTAAAAGGCCTCCTGTGTGCAATCCTGATCATTCAGTGACTTCTCCGGCCCTTTCATTCCCCAGGGAGGCAACGCGTTTGCAGCCCTGATTCAGGATCAGAGTGATGAGGAGGAGGAGGAAGAAAAGCAGCCTCCTAAGCCTGCCAAGCTGGAGAAGAACCGCATCAATAAGGTGACAGCGATGGCCTGTGAGGGGCGCCTACCAGGAGCACCTCTGGCCGTGGTGTGCCAATCGCTGGTGCGAGTTCCTGCTCCCGGGCTGGCTCCTCTAGTCTGTCTTGCTTAAACTATCGAAATCAGCTTTTTAGAATACTTTTTATAGCTTGGAAATGTAGTGGTTCTATTGCTTTCAAAGTCAAGATCTAAAACAAAGGCCATCAAGTCTTTGCTCTTCCACTTGGAGTGTCTCGTGTGCATGCCTTTCAGAGGGGCCTGACCCCCTTGGCCCCCGGCCGCCTGTGCAGCCTTTGCTCTTGGTCCTCCATCTTCCCCGACGCCTCCCCCAACCCCTCCGTCCCTCCCGGGTTTGCCCTCTCGAGGATCCTCCAGCGCTGCCGCCATGTAGCTCACGCTCTCGCTTCCTCTTTGCTCTCTAGTCTCACGGTGGAGGTGAGGGTGGTCCTGGTCTCACTTTCTCCCTAGTCCCACTCAGCGCAGTGAACTCCTCATCCTAGACCCGGAGGAAGACTTGTTAACAAATTAGCGCGCGCGTGTGTGTCTGTCTCGTCCTCCCCAGGCTGTATCTGAGGAACAGCCGGGACTCAAGGGCACCAGGGGGCGGGAAGAGGAGTCGGCAGGGAAAGCCAAGGTGAGCGAGGGAGGCGCAGGGGAGGGGCTGGTCTCAGAGCGTGAGCATTTCCTCAGCCTGCTCTCTCCGTTACCCTCAGAGTAAGTTTTCCGCTCTGGACAGCGAAGGAGAAGAGGACGGAGAAGATCTAACAAAAAAGGAGCCATCCAAGCAAGGGAAGGAGAAGGCTAAGAGGGCAGAGCAGGTGTGTCTGGTGTGGAGGCTCCGGGGCCTGGTGCTGCTCTGCGCCCACGGAGTGGGCAGGCTTCTGTAAAGAGTGGGCTTTGCAGGCCACCTACATCTCTGATGTGTATTCTTCTTCCTCCTTTTTTTTTTTTACTTTATTTTTTAAATTTTTGTTTCTTCTTTTAGAATAGAGAAAAGGGTGATAACACACTGTGGCAGGGTCCAGCTTCCTAATGAGTGTGAGGGAAGGTGGCAGGCAACCCGTTCCATCTGGTTAGGAGCTGGCAGCCTCAGTTTCTGATCTGGGCACCCCCGGGGCACCTGCTGCCTCCCACTGAGCCAAGACCAGCAGATTTTCCGAGAACTCGAGCACACCAGGACACAGCTATCAGGATGGGACTCTAGTCTCGGGTCCTCCTTTTTTTAAGAAACAACTCTTTGAACATGTAAAAACCATTCTTTTTTAAAAAAATACGTTTTTACTGATTTTCAGAGTGACAGGAAGGGAGAGAGAAACATTGAGCAACCCCCTGCACAGTTGCCACCGGGATCGAGCCCTCAAGCTGGGCATGTGCCTGACTGGGAATCGAACCGGTGACCTGGTTCGTAGGTTGATGCTCAACCAGTGAGCCACACCACTCTGGCCAAACCATTCTTAACTCGGGGCCATAGAAAAACAGGCCATGGGTTGCAGCCTCTGATCCAGAGAGGAGAGACCTGGCACTGGACTCGGGCGGTCTGTGTGTGGCCTGGAGTACGTCTTCCTCCTCCTCGTTCTCAGTTACCTTGTCCGCGGGGCCCTCTGCAGTCCATGTGCCCAGTGCTGCCCGTCCTGGCGTGCTGCACCCACAGCGCCTTTGCAGGGCTTCCAGACCCTTCTCTGCAGGTCCCGGTGTGCACTCCAGTGACATGGCGCTGGCAGCTCTGGGTGCAGGAGCGTCCCCCTCACGGTGGCAGAGACGGACGAGGGAGATGGGGTGGGTGCAGAGGAGGAGCTGGCGGGGATGGCGCAGGGGCCTGGTCTCTCACTCCCTGGATCTCACAGGGCTCAGAGGAGGAAGGGGAGGAGGACGAAGGGGAGTCGAAGGCCGATGATCCCTATGCCCACCTTAGCAAAAAAGAGAAGAAAAAGCTGAAGAAGCAGGTAAGTGCTTGGATTCCGAGTGGGCAAGGGTAGGAAAATTGGATGTTTTTACGCTCCTAGAGGACCTGTGAGCGTGGGGACAGGAAGGGGAGCGTGCGTGCTGCCTCAGGCGGAACAAGCAGATGTCCATGGCGTGGTGGGACGTGGTGGGGTCGCGGTGACGGGCTGGCGAGGGTCTCCCTCCTCAGATGGAGTACGAGCGCCAGGTGGCCTCGCTGAAGGCAGCCCACGCCGCGGAGAACGACTTCTCCGTGTCCCAGGCGGAGGTGTCCTCCCGCCAGGCCATGCTGGAGAACGCGTCCGACATCAAGGTGAGCGCCTCCCTGAGGGCAGGGCCCGGCCAGAGCCCCCCATCTTAGCCAGAAGCAGCAGAGGGCCCGCCTCGCAGGGGAGTGGGTGGGGCAGGCTGGTTGCTGGGGGAGGGCCTGGGATGGGAGGGGCTGTGCTGGAGCCCCCTTCAGGGTCCCCTGCCGGGAGAGGCCGTGCCGCTCACCCCGTTCCTCCCTCCGCACCGCTCCCGGGCCGCAGCTGGAGAAGTTCAGCATCTCCGCCCACGGCAAGGAGCTGTTCGTCAACGCGGACCTGCACATCGTGGCCGGCCGCCGCTACGGGCTGGTGGGGCCCAACGGGTGAGGCGGGAGGCCGGGCGGGGCGAGACCGGAAGGAAGAGAACTTCCTCGGTGCGGCCGGTCCTGACACTCTCGTTCGCAGCAAGGGCAAGACCACCCTCCTCAAGCACATCGCCAACCGGGCCCTGAGCATCCCCCCCAACATCGACGTGCTGCTGTGTGAGCAGGGTGAGGCTGGGCCGGCGCCGGGCCGCCGTGACGGGGCTGGAAGGGTGCTCAGCGGGCGGGCTGCGGGACGCGGCGGCGCAGTCGGCACGGGCGCATAGAGCTGGGCAGGGGCGGGCCAACCGGACGTGGTGCTGAAGGGCCCCGGGTGGCTGACTGCCCTCCCGCCCCCAGAGGTGGTAGCGGACGACACGCCGGCGGTACAGGCTGTTCTTCGCGCCGACACCAAGCGATTGAAGCTGCTGGAGGAGGAGCGGCGGCTGCAGGGGCGGCTGGAGCAGGGCGACGACATGGCGGCCGAGCGGCTGGAGAAGGTAGAGGACTCGCAGGCTCCCCGGCTGAGCCCCAGGGTTCCTGTGACCGTGGCCTGTGACCTCCTCTTCCTCTCCCAGGTGTACGAGGAGCTGCGGGCTACCGGCGCGGCAGCTGCAGAGGCCAAAGCCCGGCGGATCCTGGCCGGTCTGGGCTTCGATCCTGAAATGCAGAATCGGCCCACACAGAAGTTCTCGGGAGGCTGGCGCATGCGTGTCTCCCTGGCCAGGTGGGGCTGCCCACCTACTGCCCGCCCTCCAGCCTCTAACGGCCAGCCCTCTCCCTTCCCCCGCTCCCGCTCTGGGTGTTGTCGGCCCCGGCTCCCCCCGCTCTCCCGGGCCATGGCGGATGTGCTCTGCACAGGAGCTCCTCTGAGGAGAGACTGGGAAGGATGTTCACGGCCTCAGGCTCCGCCTTCTGGGGCTGCTCAGTCCTCTGAACAAGGTCTCCCCGCTGACCCTGCCCTGACTGCCCCTCCCCAGGGCGCTGTTCATGGAGCCCACGCTGCTGCTGCTGGACGAGCCCACCAACCACCTGGACCTCAATGCAGTCATCTGGCTCAACAAGTGCGTCCCTCGCCCTGGCCTTCGGCCTGGCCCCGGCACTGCCGTGCACCGCTGCCTCCAGCGCCCCCGCCCCCGCCTGTCTGCTGCCCAGTGAGCCCTAACGTGACCATTGTGACCTTTCCACACTCTGCTCTAAAACCCAGCTACCTGCAGGGCTGGCGGAAGACGCTGCTCGTCGTCTCCCACGACCAGGGCTTCCTGGATGACGTCTGCACCGACATCATCCACCTCGACGCCCAGCGGCTCCACTACTACAGGGGCAACTACAGTGAGTGGGCCCGTGCACGGGGGAGCCGGGCCTCAGAATCCGCACGGACGCCCGTCCACGCCCCCCACCCCGCCCTGCCCTCAGTCCTGACCACCCTCAGCTGCTGGGAGAGGGGGACTCACTGATGTGCATCCTCTTCCGCCCAGTGACCTTCAAGAAGATGTACCAGCAGAAGCAGAAGGAGCTGCTGAAGCAGTATGAGAAGCAGGAGAAGAAGCTGAAGGAGCTGAAGGCGGGCGGCAAGTCCACCAAGCAGGCGGTGAGGCGGGGTCTCCTGAGCCAGGCTCTTCAGGAGAGGAGGCAGAGCCTCGACACCAGCCTGCCTTTCGGGGGCCACTGTGCAGTGAGCGTTCCACCCTCCCCCTTTCTCCGCAGGAAAAGCAAACGAAGGAAGCCTTGACTCGGAAGCAGCAGAAATGCCGACGGAAAAACCAGGACGAGGAGTCGCAGGAGGCCCCTGAGCTCCTGAAGCGCCCCAAGGAGTACACTGTGCGCTTCACGTTCCCGAACCCCCCGCCGCTCAGCCCTCCTGTGCTGGGCCTGCACGGTGAGCCAGGCCCGCAGCGGGGCGCAAGGTGGTGCCGCCCGGGGCCGGGACACGGGGCGCTGGAGGGGAGCGGGGAGAAATGGAGCCGCCTCCTCTCCTGCCTCAGGTGTGACATTTGGCTACGAGGGGCAGAAACCACTCTTCAAGAACCTGGATTTTGGCATCGACATGGACTCAAGAAGTGAGTTGGTGTTGGGTGGCCAGAGGAGGCAGGCGGGACAGCAGGGAAGGTGTGGGGTCTCTCTGACCACCTGCCTTGCTCCCAACAGTCTGCATCGTGGGCCCTAACGGTGTGGGGAAGAGCACCCTGCTCCTGCTGCTGACGGGCAAGCTGACGCCGGTGGGTGCTGTGACGCCGCAGGGGGCGGTGGGAGTACTGAGGGAACACAGCTGCAGGGGGCCGGTTAGGTCGGTTCCGGGAGGAGAGCCAGGAGGGTGGGGGCTCTGGGCGCCCTGTGCTTTGGTTACACAGGAAACACATGACGTGCAGAATGGTGTGAATGGCACGAGTCAGAAGTCTAGAGAAGAATTTTGGTAGACAGCTTTCTCCTTTTTACCTTTGCAAATGTGCACCACCTTTATGCTTTGTTCTTGTTTTTTTAATGATAAGGTTTTCTAGGGAGGCGCTGTTGACATCAGATGTCATTTTTTTAAAAAACATATTTTATTGGTTTCTTACAGAGGGGAAGGAAGGATAGAGAGGTAGAAACGTCGATGAGAGAGAAACATCGACCAGCTGCCTCCTGCACACCCCCTACCAGATTCCTTGACTGGAATTGAACCTGGGACCGTTGATTCCCAGGCTGATTCCCAGGCTGACGCTCTATCCACTGAGCTAAACGAGTTTCAGCTGTTTTTTTTTTTTTTTTTTTTTTTTTTTTTTAACATAAGTGAGCTATCACATGAATTGTTTTAAGCCAGCTCATTTATTTATTTATATTTTAAAGAACAGCTTATTGCCTAGCTGGTTTGGCTCAATGGATAGAGGATTGGCCTGCAGACTGAGGGGTCCCAGGTTTCATTCCAGGCAAGGGCATGTGCCCAGGTTGCAGACTCAATCCCTAGTCGGGGACATACAGGTAGCAGCTGATCAGTGATTCTTTTTTTTTTTTTTTTTTTTTTTTTAAATATTTTTTTATTGATTTTTTACAGAGAGGAAGGGAGAGAGATAGAGAGTTAGAAACATTGATGAGAGAGTCGTCGACCAGTTGCCTCTTGCACACCCCCTACTGGGGATATGCCCGCAACCAAGGTACATGCCCTTGACTGGAATCGAACCCGGGACCCTTCATTCCCCAAGCTGACGCTCTATCCATTGAGCCAAACAGGTTTTGGCAGTGATTTTCTTTTATCATTGATCTTTCTTTCTTTCTTTCTTTCTTTCTTTCTTTCTTTCTTTCTTTTTTTTTTTTTGATGTTTCTTTTAAAAGATATATATTTATAATCTTTTATTATCTGTTTATATAAAAGCCTAAGCAGTTTTACCTGACGGGTCGACTAGTTACTGTGACATACACTGACCACCAGGGGGCAGACTCTCAATGAGGAGCTGCCCCCTGGTGGTCAGTGCACTCCTATGGCCCCTCCCCCCAGCCCACCATTCTCATGTAGCCCCTTTTCCTGGGCTCCAATTGGGGGAGGGGAGACAGCTCAGGCCAACCTCCCGCAGCCCCTCCCCCCGGCAGCTGGCCTCCCAATAGGCATTGATAGCTGACCAGGCCAAGGGACCCCACCTATGCATGAGTCTGTGTGCTGGGCCTCTAGTGTTTAATCTATTTGTGTTGATTTCGAAAGGAAGGAAGAGGGAGGGAGAGATAGAAATATCAATGATGACGAAGAATCACTGTTTGGCTGCCTCCTGCACAGGTCCTGCTGGGGGTCAAGCCTGCAGCCCAGGCATATGCCCTTGACCGGAATCAAACCTGGTACCATAGGCTGACACACTGTCCACTGAGCCAAATGCACTAGGGCTCATCATTGATGTTTCTATCACTCTCCTTCTCACTTCCTCTCTGAAGTCAGTAGGAATATATATAAATTTTTTAAAATGATAGCTCATTGATTTTTAGAGAGAGGAAGAGAGAGAAAAAGGAGACATCAGTGTGAGAGCACACCTAAGGGGCTGCCTCCTGCATGTCCCCCACTCCCAATCAAGCCTTCAGCCTGGCATGCGCTGTGACCGGGAGTCAGACGGGCCAATTCCTGTGTGTGGGCCAGTGCTCCTGCAGGCTGAGCCACACCAGCGGCGTGTATTGCCAGATAATACACACTGAGAGCGTTTCCTGGCTCATAATTGTAGGTGCCCAGCCTGCTGTGCCTGGACCAGAGGGTAGGCCCTCCTCAGCATCCCAGCCGCAGAACGGGTTTGAGCTCAGGCAGGCTGAGGGCCGGTGCTGTGCCTCTGAGTGTAGTTTTCCCCAACATATTATATTGCCCTTGGGACCTGGCAGTGTGCTGCCCTGTGGAACTTCAGCTGGGTGACGGCATGTCCTTCCTCCAGGAGAGTGTTGGATGGGTCCTCTCCCCTCGGGTCTCCCCTTCCCCTGTCCTTACCCTCTGACCCGTCCTTAACCTCTGACCCGTCCTTACTCTCTGACCCATCCTTACCCTCTGACCTGTCCTTACCCTCTGACCTGTCCTTACCCTCTGACCTGTCCTTACCCTCTGAACCCTCTGACCTGTCCTTATCCTCTGACCTGTCCTTACCCTCTGACCTGTCCTTACCCTCTGACCTGTCCTAACCCTCTGAACCCTCTGACCTGTCCTTACCCTCTGACCTGTCCTTACCCTCTGACCTGTCCTTACCCTCTGATCTGACCTGGGGCCCTGAGAAGGCTGTGCGCACCCCTGGGAGGGAAGAGGCACTCGGAGCTGTGGCCGGCCCGGCCGAGTGCGGTGCCGTTGACGTCGGGAGCACAGCCTGGCCCTGGCCCCGGCTCGTGTTTGTCTCCCCTTCAGAAGGTCAGGCTCTCTCTTCCCATCTCACCTCTTGCTCTTTCCTTGCAGACTCAGGGGGAAATGAGAAAGAACCACCGGCTGGTAAGTGGTCTTGGGGAATTGGGGAATGAGAGTCCGATAGAGGAAGCAGGACCTTACCTGACCCCTTCCCTCTCCTTTGGGGCAGAAAATTGGCTTCTTCAACCAGCAGTATGCAGAGCAGCTGCACATGGAGGAGACGCCCACAGAGTACCTGCAGCAGGCCTTCAACCTGCCCTACCAGGATGCCCGCAAGTGCCTGGGCCGCTTTGGCCTGGAGAGCCATGCGCACACCATCCAGATCTGCAAACTCTCCGGTATGCCGAGCGGCGGCCGCCTCGGCCCGGCCCAGGCTGCAGCTGCCGCGGGGCCGGGCGGGCGGTTCGGCGCGCGTCCACTCGGCTCGCAGGAGGGGAGGCGGCCAGAGGGTGACGGCCCTTTCTCTCTGTAGGTGGGCAGAAGGCCCGGGTCGTGTTTGCAGAGCTGGCCTGTCGGGAGCCTGACGTCCTCATCTTGGTGAGTGAGAGGGGTGCGGGGGCAGCTGGGGGGGGCACGCCGCTCATGCTGGGGGGCAGCTGGGGGGGCACGCCGCTCATGCTGGGCGCCTCCACAGGACGAACCCACCAACAACCTGGACATCGAGTCCATCGACGCTCTGGGGGAGGCCATCAACGAGTACAAGGGAGGTGAGTCCCACGCCCTTCCCCGCGGCGCCCCGCCCGCCCCGCCCCGCCCCGCCCCGCCCCGCCCAGCGCCTGACTGCCCCTCCCTCCAGCGGTGATCGTGGTCAGCCACGACGCCCGGCTCATCACGGAGACCAGCTGCCAGCTGTGGGTGGTGGAGGAGCAGAGTGTCAGCCAGATCGACGGCGACTTCGAGGACTACAAGCGGGAGGTGCTGGAGGCCCTGGGGGAAGTCATGGTCAACCGCCCCCGGGAGTGACCTCCTTCCCCACGGGCCGCCGTTCCGGAAAGACTGTCCGCGCGCTTTCGGTTGACCGAGGGCCTGTGCCCACCTGTTATCGTGGTCGTCCGGCCAGACTGCTGTGCCCAAGGCTCCTCCTTCCTCGCCAGCCTCTGCCCCCTGCGGGGCCAGGGCCTGGGCTGAGCGGCTGCTTTTCCGTGGATCCACGCTGTGGCCACTGTGCGGGGAGGGGGTGTCCCTGTGCCCGGAGGAATAAAGGAGGCGCTGCTGCCGTTCGCAGGGGAGGCACTGTGTGTGGGTCTTGCTTTGCTGTTTGTTTCCCAGCGGCAGTTAGAGTCCTCGCTTCCCACCAGGGCGAAGGCTCCTGCAGCCTCACTGCCCCAGGTGGTGCTGCCCGGTGAGGAGCTCCCCCCCCCCCACTCAGACGCTCAGGCCTCACTGCCCAAGGCCCCCGAGAGGGAGCGTGCAGGCCCGCTGCGGGAAAGGGAGACGGGAGGAAGCGAGCACACGAGATGGCCGTGCTGGCAGGTGGCTCTTGGTTCGGCTGCCGCTCGCTCCTAGAAGGAAAGGCTGTCTGGAGCGTGGTTATTGGCAGGGTCACTTGGAGTGACCTTGAGGAAGAAGAAGGGTTTGCATAGGAAGGAACAGCCCTTTTTGGAACCTAGGGGAAAGGCAGAGCTAAGGCTTGGAAGGAAGGAAACCAAACGGGAGTTAATGAGAGGAAGTGGCTAGAACACTGAGGAGACAGGGTTAGAGTGGAGAGGTAGGCGGGGAAGTAAAATGCAAATGGAAGTGGTGGGTGTGGTTTTAGGTGGTGAGAGAATCACTGATTGGCCACCTACCAAATGCCCCCCCTGCGGGGGGGGTGGGTGTCAAGCCTACAACCTCAGTATGTGCCCCAACTGGGACTAAATTGGACCTGGTTCAACCGCCGAGCACATCCACCAGGTCATTTGAAGTGTTTGATCACTAATTTCAGATGTTCCAAAATAACTAATGGACAAGAGCATAAATTTTATTTCTTCCATCATAGAGCATCTGAAATATATAAAAGGGTAAGTGTCCATCTGTCCATGCACAGCAGCCAGACCTGCGAGGGCTGCAGCGGAGTGCCGTCTTGTGTACTGAGGTTGAGAGTTTGGTTCCTGGTCAAGGCACATACCAAGCTGCAGGCGCGCTCCAGTCAGGGGCATGTGGGGGCACCGGTCAGTATTTCTCACATGGAAGTCGGTCTCCCTCTCCCGTCCTGGGGGGGGGGGGGGGGGCAATGGGTGATAAGGACACGTGTAATACCTTAAGAAAAAAATTCCAAGTGAGAATTAAAAAAGGATGACGGCCCGGCTGGTGTGGCTCTGTAGGTAGAGTGCCAGCCTGTGAACTGAAGGGCCATGGGTTCCTTTTCCACTTGAGAGCTTGTCCCTGGGTCGCAGGTTCAGTTCCCAGCCTGGTCAGGGGATGTGCAGGAGGGAACCAATTGGTGTGCCTCTCGCAGCATTGTCATCCCCTCCCCCTCCCCCCATTCCACACGAAAAAGTGCTCCTTAGGTGACTTCAACAACAGCAGGCGGGGAGTGGGGAGGGTGAGGGCATGCACGGGTAGGGAAGGCTGGGGGAAGGTCAGTGGGGGGAAAGAGATACATGTAATACTTTAAACAATAAAAGATAAAATAAGTATGATGGAAGGGTAAATCCCAGGTTGGAGTGACAGCCAGGATTGGACTGTTTAGGAACACACGAGGCATTTTAGGGGTCCTGTCAGTGCTGCCAGGGAACAGGAGGGCCCTGTGGCCGGGAAGGGTGGAGGGGGTGGGAGTGGGGCTGCGGCTGTGGCCAGGGCAGAGGCTCCTGCCTCAGCACCTGCAGCCGCTGTGCCACCGGAAGGGGGCGGGACTGAGCACCTCCTGGAGGCAAGGGAAGGGACCTGACGTGTGTGATGAGGAGGCACCTCGGAGGAAGGGAGATGGAAGCCAAGGCTGGAGCAGGTGAAGCAGCGAACCAGAGGAGTGGGGAGAGGAGCCTGCCCTCGGGATGCACCAGGGTGGGTAACACTGGAACCTGTAGGATGTTCCCAACCAGTGTCACCTGGTGCATTCATAAGTAACAAATGGAGAACCAGCTGGAGCCGTGGCTGGTGTGGCTCAGGTGGTTGGGTGTCATCCTGTGCAGCAAAAGGTTGCCAGTTCAATTCCCAGTCAGGGCACATGCCCAGTCTGCAGCTTGAAACCTGGTGGGGGCATGCAGGATTCTCTTTCATAGTTGATGCTTTTATTTTTCATTTTTGATGATTTTTATAAATGTTTTTTAATTGATTTTACAGGAAGGAAGAGAAAGGCATAGTGTTAGAAATATCTTTTAGAGAGAAAAATTCAATATGCTATCTCCTGCATGCTACAACCAAGGTACATGCTCTTGACCAGAATCGAACCCAGGATGCTTCAGTCTGTGGGATCATGGTCTAGCCACTGAGTCAAACCGGTTAGGGCCATTGTTGATGTTTCTATCTCTCCCTCTCCCTTCTTCTCTGAAATCAATATGTACATATGAAAGCAGGAAAGAACTTGATATAGTCAGAAGACATGGCTTGAGCTTAGAGTGTGAGTTAAGCCAGGACACATGCTCAGAGCCTTAGGAACCTTGCCAGCGAGTGGGAATGTGGTCCTAGAAGCAATGGGAGCCACTGGTAGTGCTTGTACAGGGTGCCAGTTGATCTGGTTTCATCTGTACAGAACTGCTCTGGCCGCTGTGGGGAACTGTGTGTGTGGGGGAGGGGGGGGCGGCGGGGGGGGGGGGTGAGGAGAGGCCAGAAGTGACACACTGCCTTGGAAGAATTCTTCCTCTAAGAAAATGTAAGCTCGGATATTTTCAGGGGAAGAGAATGGGAAACAGGGCTCACCTCGTGAGTTTTGGTGTCAGAGAATCAAGAAGAGTTAGGGAGTGTCCTAGCCAGTTTGTCTCAGTGGTTGTAACATCAACCTGTGGGCCGAAGGGTCCAGTCAAGGGCACATACCTCAGTTGCATGTAGGAGGCAACCATTCCATGTTTCTCTCACACTGATATTTCTCTCACTTTAAATATCAGTGGAAAAATATTCTCGGATAAGGACTAAAAAAAAGGGGGTAGACCCAGCTGATCCTCACAGCCAATTGGCCTGAAGGTCAATTCCTTACAGTGATACCAACAACAATCAAGACTTAACTACAACAAGGCTGTGCACACAGTCCACAAAGGGCACCAAGAGTGTCCACTTCAGGTAACTGGGAGGCTGACCCACTGAACCATATAGGGCACCTTAGCACACAAAGCCACCCTACCAACTCAGGGAAGCTGCGAAAATGACGAGACAAGGAAACATCACAAACGAAAGAAATGGAAGACAAAAAGCGACTGGATATAGAGTTCAAAACCACGCTTATAAGGTTTTTCAAGAATCTCCTAGAAAAGGTCGATAAATGAGACCTATGAGGATATGATAAGGGATCAACTAGAAATAAAGAATACATTGTCTAAAATATAGAATCCTAAAAACAGAATGGAAGATAATAATCAAGACAAAGATTTGGAACATAAAGAGCCAGAAGACAATCCTCCACAGAAGCAAGAAGACAAGAGAATCCAGGAAGCTGAAGATAACATAAGAAGCCTCTGGGACAACTTCAAGCGAACCAACATCAGAATTTTGGGGGTCCCAGAAGATGAGAGAGAGCAAGATATAGAAAACATACTGAAAGAAATAGTGACAGAAAACTTCCCCCACCTGGTGAAAGAATTAGACTTAAAAGTCCAGGAAGCACACAGAACCCCAAACAAAAGGAATCCAAAGAGGACCACACCAAGACAAATCATAATTAAAATTCCAAGAGTAAAAGAGAATATTAAAAGCAGTAAGAGAGAAACAGGTAGTTATCTATAAAGGAGCACCCATATGACTGTCAGCTGATTTCTCACCAGAAATCATGCAGGCCAGACGGGAATGGCAAGAAATATTCAAGGTGATGAATAGCAAAAACCTACAGCCAAAAATACTCTACCCAGCAAAGCTATCATTCAGAATCAAAGGCCAGATAAAGAGCTTTTCACAGCTGAAACCAGTTTGGCTCAATGGATAGAGCGTCGGCTTGGGGGACTGAAGGGACCTGGGTTTGATTCCAGTCAAGGGCATGTACCTTGGTTGCGGGCATATCCCCAGTGGGGGGGTGCAAGAGGCAGCTGATCGATAACTCTCATCGATGTTTCAAACTCTGTATCTCCCTTCCTCTCTGTACAAAATCAATAAAATATATTTAAAAAAAAAAAAAAAAGCTTCACAAATAAAAAGCTAAAGGCATTCATCACTGCCAAACCAGAATTATATGAATTGCTGAAGGGGTTCTCTAGGAAGAGGAAGAAAATAAAGATAAAAGTTATGAACAACAAATACGTAACTATCAATAAGTGAATCTAAAAACCAAGGGAATTAAAAAATCTGATGAACAATATTAACCGGTGTATGTAATAGAATCAGAGGAATGGAAGGGGAGTGGACTGATGATTCTCGGGGGGAAAGGGGAGGGGGGGCTGTGGGAAGAGACTGATCATAAACTGTGCACCTATGGATGAGGACAATGGGGGGTGGAGAAAGGGCAGAGGGTGAGGTGGGAACCTGGTGGAGGGGGAAAAATGAACCTTTGTAATAATATGAACAATAAAGATTTATTTTAAAAAATAATAAAAGCAGCAAGAGAAAAACAGTTACCTACAAGGGAGCACCCTTACGATTGTTAGCTGATTTCTCAACAGAAACTATGCCAGACGGGAGTGGCAAGAAATGTAATGCTGATAACTCACAATTGGAGATGGAAGGGTTGAGAGACATCAGAAGTTGAATAGGACTTGGGGGGTGGGAAGCAGAAAGGAACAGAAAAACCTAAAGGGGAGAGAAGTGGCTGCAGGGCTTGATGGGTCCATGGGTTTGGTGAAATGGATGAGACATTCAGCCTCTCTCCCTGCCCCCATTATTTTTCAGTATTTTTAGAAAGTGTGAAAGGGGCCGAAACCGGTTTGGCTCAATGGTAGAGCGTTGGTCTGCAGACTGAAAGGTCCCAGGTTCGAATCCAGTCAGGGGCATGTACGTTGATTGCGGGCACATCCCCGGAAGGGGATGTGCAAGAGGCTGCTGGTAGATGTTTCTCTCTCATTGACGTTTCTAGCTCTCTATCTCCCTCTCTGTAAAAAAATCAATAAAATATATATTTTTTAAAAAGTGTGAAAGGGAAGTGGGGGGTGGAGTGATAAACATTGATGTGAAAGAGACACATCCACTGGTTATTTCCCACACTTGCCCTGACCAGGCCCGGGGATCGAACCTGCAACCCTTAACTGGAAATCAAACCCACAACCCTGCGGTCCCATGGGTTAACACCGGCCAGGGCAGGAAAATTTTTTGTGGAGAATTTGAAAGGAAAATGATGGACTCATCTTTAAATAACAATGGAAAAACTTGAAGTTCTCTTTAAAGGCCTATTGCAGTAGACACAAGGAGGTGAGAAACAGGCACTTGGAGCCAGAAGGAAAGAAAATCAAGTTAAAGTGTGCCCTGTAGATAGATATGCTCTTTGCTTTTTCACTTGAACATGTATCTTGTTGCTATTTCACCTTTAGATTAAGTTCTCCTCCCAGGTCCTCCCCTGAGTGCACAGAGCAAAAGTAGGCTGCCTGCCTGAGCGTCACTCCTGAGACTGGACAAGGCAGGGAAAAGGCCCCGCTGACCTCGCAGGATGTGAATTAGGCCTGTGACAGTGGCCGATCTTGAAAATAACAGCCAAGAACCTTGTAGGGCAGTGACTTCCTTTTCCAGATGAGCAACTCCAGGAGCTCAGGAACACAGAACGTCGGGATCTACCCTCGATCTACTGAGTCGAAAGATTTGTTGCCCCCTTCACTTTTATTTTTCATGTTTTTAAAAATTTATTTTAGGGAGAGAAACATCAGTTTGCTGCCCCCATGCATCCTGGGATTGAACCCACAACCCAGGTATATGCCCATCCATGGGATGACACTCAGCTAAGCCAGGGCTCCAAACTCTCTCTCTATATATATATATAAAGAGATATATATATTAAAAAAAGATATATATATATATTATTTTACAGAGAGGAAGAGAGAGGGATAGAGTTAGAAACATCGATGAGGGAGAATCGTTGATCAGCTGCCTCTTGCACACACCCCCCCCCTGCACCTCCACTGGGAATGTGCCCGCAAGCAAGGTACATGCCTTTGTCTGGAATTGAACCTGGGACCTTTCAGTCTGCAGGCCGATGCTCTATCCACTGAGCCAAACCAGTTTTGGCTCCAATCTCTTTTATCAGGCCCTTCAGACATTCTGGTGAACAAACACTAAAAGGTTGAAATCCATTCACTCCCCTCCCAATGTAACAGGCCCCTAATTTCTAGTCCCAATAGCATATTTAGCCCAGCCAGCATGGTAAAGTGGGTTAAGGAGTTCATAGGTTATGGTTCACTTCCCCGTCGGTTGGTCAGGGCACGTGCCTGGGCTGCGGGCTCGTTCCCCAGTAGGGGGAGAATGTAAGCGGCAGCCAATCAAGGACGCTCATCGATGTTTCTCTCTCTGAAATCAATAAAAATATATATTTTTTAAAATAGCAGATTTAAGTAACTTCCTACTCCCAAGTTAATTCTATCCCTCTATGTTCTGGTCTCCAAAACTTCCTGTGCCCCAGGAATCTTATTCCATCATGTAGGCACGTAGTTGGCAAACCGTGGCTCGAGAGCCACACGCGGCTCTTTTCACCCTTGAGTGTGGCTCATCCACAAAATATTGCACACGTGTAGTGAGATTGAAACTTCGTGGCCCATGCGCAGAGGTTGGTTTTCGGCCTGGGTATTTTTTAAAAAATATATATTTTATTTTTTAAAAAAATATATATTTTTTATTAATTTTTCACAGAGAGAACGGGAGAGAGATAGAGCTAGAAACGTCGATGAGAAACATCGACAAGCTGCCTCCTGCACACCCCCTTCTGGGGATGTGCCCGCAACCAAGGTATTATATATGCCCTTGACTGGAATCGAACCTGGGACGTTTCAGTCCACAGGCCGAGGCTCTATCCACTGAGCCAAACTGGTTTCATCTGGGTGAGTCTATTCTGAGGAAGTGGTTCTAATGCCCAGCCACACTCAAGAGGCCAAAGAGCCGTGGTTTGCCGACCACTGACCTAGGCCTTGATTTCACACCTCCCCTCAATGAGTAAGCTGGGCCTGAGATCTCCCTCCCTCACAGCAGGCCATTTTCTCTAGCTCCGCACTCTTTCCTTTCTCCCCTGGACTGTTCTCAAAACACCGCTCATGGATTTCTCCTGCAGCCACTCCTGCTCCACCTCCCGTCCCCTGCACTCCCTCAGAGCACCCCAGCGCTGGCAGCACCAGGCTGTCTGGCCGCACTGCCTTCTCCAGGATGCTGGTCCTGGGCTCCGCTGTGCAGGGCGCGTCACATCAGCATCCACTGCATCAACTGTGGCTTGGAGAACTTGCTAGCTCCTCAGGTCTGAAAATGACTCCTACAAGCTGGTACTGGCTGGGCTTTTGTTTTTAAAAATAAAATTAAAAAAAATATATATTTTTTACGAGAGGGATAGAGAGTTAGAAACATCATGAAACATCAGCTCCCTCCTGCACACCCCCCACTGGGGATGTGCCTGCAACCAAGGTACGTAGTCTTGACTGGAATCGAACCCAGGACCTTTCAGTCCGCAGGCCGACACTCTATCCACTGAGCCAAACTGGTTTCGGCTGGGTTTTGTTTTTAAGGAGTCCAAACACACCAGGGGTTAAATAAGCTGCTTCTCTCTCCACTGTTTATTATTAATGTACAAAATATACAAAACCAAAAGAAAAAAACTCATCCTCAAATCCATCGTGGCTCTAACCCAAGACCTTGCACAAAACCCAATCAATCCACTGTTTTCATAGAAAACAACTGATACGGGCGGTGAAAGAGAGAGGGCTGCGTAAGGGCCAGAGCTGTCGGATGCGCCCAGAACGTGCCCGATGGGGACTAAGAGGTGGCCTCGCTCCAAGGTTCCAGGTTGCCAACTCCCAAGCGGTGCATGTAGTGTGCCCATCAGGCCGGCGTGCTGGCTTCAGTTCATGCACAGCTCGTCTCCCGGAAGTGTCTGCTTCCAGCATGAGCTGTGTGCAGGGCAGACCGCCGCCGCCCCGATGCCGCCGCCGCCACCGCGTTCCCAAAAGGCTGCTCGTCTGCCCTCGGTGAGACGGGCTCAGCGTGTGTCCAGCAGAGTGCAGGGAGCCCTCAGTGTAGTGGGGTGTCCAGTATCCCTTCCCAGCCCCCACCCCGAGGAACGGTGGTCTTGGCTGGGATGGCGGCTGATCCCACATCAGAGCTCCGTGCGCGGGAGCACCGGGAAGGAGCTCGGGTTCCAGGGCAGTCTCCTCCAAAAGTGAAGCCGGCCGAGCCGCCGCTTCGCGGACGTGGCGGGGACGTGGGGCGCACCGTGATCAGAAACCCCAGGACGGTGGGGCGGAGGCGGCCGGCTCCTCCTCAGCTGGGGAAGGGACAAACGGGCCTCACAGAAGCCATAACAGTGTGGGGCAGGCGGGTCCTCAGGGCAGGGGGGGCCCATTGACCCCCGGGTGGTAGAAGGCACAGCTGTCCTCATAGCGGCAGTTGCCCTTCATCATGAAGTGTCGGCAGACGGGGCGGTTGGACATGTCTGAAAGAGAGGGGGGTGCTTAGGGAGGAGACGCTAGGTTACCACCCCCTCCCTCCTCCAGGGCCTTTCAGAGCGAGCCTGGGGGAGGAGCAGCCACACCTGCTGGGACAGGTACAATCAGCACCATAAGGGGCAGGGACGTGCTCACCTCCTCCATGGCTGTGGCCTCCATCGTGCCCTCGGTGGCCCCCTCCTCCGTGGCCAGGGCCATTATGGCCACGGTGCTCGTGAGGGGGTGGTCCTCGATGGTCATGGCCTCGGTGACCGGGGACATCATGAGGCCGGTGGCCATGGGGTCCCCCGTGTCCAGGACCTTCATGGGGGCGATGTCCACCATTTCCACCCATGTTCCCACCAGGACCTTCATGAGGACGATGGCCACTGCCACTGCCCATGCCCCCGCCAGGGCCTTCGTGGGGACGGTGTCCTCCACCCATGCCCCCACCGGGGCCCCCTCGTCCGTTTGGGGGTCCCCCAGAGCGACCTCCTCTGGCCCCTCGAAATGGAGGAGGAGGGGGAGGAGGCTCATTGCCCCCTCGACCACCGCGGCCTCTGTGGTATGGCCCAGGCCCGGGCCCGGGCCCCGGCCCGCCCCGCATCGGCCCGCCCCGCATGGGGTCAGCAGGGCCATCCCAGAAGGGATCACCACCCCGGGGAGGGGGGGGTGGGCCTAGGAGACGTGGACCCACTGGCCCCCCAGGGCCTCCAGGGCCTCCATGGGGACCTGTTAGGGAAAAAAGGGAGAGCAAGTTACACTCAAGAAACTGCTCCCTCTGACCCTAAACCACCTCCCCGTCCTGGTCAATCCCACACTATTACCAGACCACAGGTTAGCAGGTAAGCCCATATTCCAGCACCCCAGTCCCCGCCTACCTGGCATAGGCCCCCCTGGGCCAGGGGGGAAGTGCTGCATTCCCTTGGGGACCCCAGGGCCTCCTTGTGGGAAACCATTGGCCATGGGGCCGGGGCCTAAGAGGCCATGTGGTACTGTTAATGAAGAAAGAGTCAAATAGTCAGCAAGACGCTTCTAGAAGGGTGATATCCTTCTCGCTTAAGCGTGCCCCACGGATCCTTGAAGACCCAACTGGCAGAGTCTAATCTCCATCCCACCCCCAGGTCTGGTCATTGCCTGGCAATCCCCCTGCATTCCCAGCCCTGGCTGCCATGACCTTACCCAGCATCTGCTTGATCTTGTCTGAGTAGTCTGGTTGCTTCAGCAGCTCCTCTGAGGGGTGACTATTTGGGCTACCCTAGAGAGCAACAGTCCTCATCAGCAGAGAAAGGGCGAGCCCCAAGGAGGGATGCAGGAAGAGGAGGCCTGGGGTAAGGGGAGGGGCAGACCGAGGGCAAGGCTCATACCATGATAGAGGTGAGAATCTCCTGGACATTGATGCCTCCTCCTCCGGGACCCTGGGGGCTCTTTCCAGCACCCATGCTTCCCATGAGATTGGCCAGAACAGGAGGCAACTTGGAGCCACCTGCCCCATCAGGTGAGCCACCGGCCTCCCCAGGCTCCAGGATCTCAACATATGGAGTCTCATCCATAGAACATTCCTGAAAGCAGAACAGAGCAGTGAGGACAACCACAGAATGAAGGGGAGTCACCCACGAGAGCTGCATTAGCATCCGTCACAGCCCTGTCACAGTCACTTCACACTCACCTCGTCCAAGGGGATGAGCTTCGGGGGGACAGGCTCGTAGGGTTCAGGATCTGGCTCGTGAGGGCTAGCACAAAAAAGAATGATGTCAAATTACTGACCCAGGCCCTCGAATGTCTTCCTAACCTCCATCCTCTCCATGATCAACCCGGCTGGCGGCCCATTCTGCTCACCTTTCCTTGTTCAGGAAGAGCTCCTGAAGGATTCCCTTCTCCCGCTCGGCCTGGATGTACCGCTCCTGGCTGTTGCTTCCAGGGGTGACGAGCGGGGAGGGCAGAACCAGGGGCCGGGGGCACACCCACGGCACCTTCTCCTCCATGTTGTCATGGCTCAGACGCCGGGCCGTCTCAAATGCATGTCTGTCTGACAGTATCTCTCGCTTAGCAGCCTCGCCAAAGTCCTTGATCTTATTCACATTTACTGTTGGCAAGAAGAAAGAAAAGTAAGCACCACCAGCGGTTTTAAACGCTCCGTACCCGCCTATCAGATAGAAACCTGGACTTCTAACCTCGTTCAGTTTCATCCAGTTCAAAATAGAAGTATTCCCTCAGCTTGCCCTCCTCAGGCCACGTCACCGTCTTCCTCTTCCTGCCTTTCCGCGTCAGCTGGCCGGCATCGCCAGGACTCTCCACTGGTTTTGTATCCAGAGCGCCTGGCTCCAAAGAGGCTGTACGCAGGAGAGGTTTCAGACACAGGCCCTCTCCCTGGGGACCCCCCACCCGGCCGCCTCTGCACTGACCTGCATCCAGGAGCTCTGGGACCTCCACAGGGGGCACTGGGGTCCCTGGACGGTCTGTGTCCATCGCCTCAGGAGGCGCTGGCTCTGGGGAAGAAGGTTTGGCTGTGCTTGGCTCTGTGCTTGTTTTCCCTTCAAATGGGCTTGGCTATTGTGAAAGGAGAAGAAGTTAATGCGCTGACAGAAAAACCAAGGTCAAGGCAAGGCAGTTAGTGCAGGGTCCGGGGCAGGATCCCTCAACAGTTCATATAAACGAGGCTCCATGTCACAGTCGGCGTCGGAGACAAACACCTCTTGCCCTCCTCAACGCTGAGCTGCTGGGCCCTTCTTCTTTTATTTTTTATTTTTTATGTTTTGATTGATTTTAGAGAGAAACATCAATCAGCCTCCTGCACACCCACCCTCACAGGGCCCACACCAAGGGCATGTTCTCTGACCAGGAATCGAACCAGCCACCACTGGGTGCATGGAACTACGAACTGAGCCACACTGGCCAGGGCTCTGGGCCCTTCCTTTGACTTTACCTCCACACCTGCCACACCTGCCACCCAGGCCCATACCTTGGCAGCTGTGGGTGACAGCACCTTCTTCTTCTTCTTAATTTTGATGCCTGGAACAGGGGCTGAGTTGAGCGCATCCAGGAAGCCAAGGCCCTCCATAGCTACAAAAGGAAGCACCTCCTTCAGAATCCTATTTTCTTTTTTTATTTTTAACATATTTGTTTATTTTTAAAATAGATTTTTATTGATTTTTTTAAAAATATATTTTATTGATTTTTGTACAGAGAGGAAGGGAGAGAGATAGAGAGCCAGAAACATCGATGAGAGAGAGTCATCAGTCAGCTGCCTCCTGCACACCCCCTACTCGGGATGTGCCCACAACCAAGGTACACGCCCTTGACCGGAATCGAACCCGGGACCCTTCAGTCCCCAAGCTGACGCTCTATCCATTGAGCCAAACCGGTCCCGGCAGATTTTTATTGATTTTTTACAGAGAGAAAGGGAGAGGGATAGAGAGCTAGAAACATTGATGAGAGAAAAACACCGACCAGCTGCCTGCAACCAAGGTACATGCCCTTGACCAGACTTGAACCCCGGACCTTTCAGTCCACAGGCCAACGCTCTATCCACTGAGCCAAACCGGTTTCGGCTATAATCCTATTTCTATAGAACCAGTCTGGACAGAAAAATGGCTCAGTGCAGACTCTGCCTCAACCTGGGACACAGTAAGCTCAAGGTGGCCAGGGAGCATATGGACAGGAAATTCCTGACATTATTCTCTATTTTAAAAAATATATATCTTGCCGAAACTGGTTTGGCTCAATGGATAGAGAGTCGGCTTGGGGACTGAAGGGTCTTGTGTTCGATTCCAGTCAAGGGCATGTACCTTGGTTGCGGGCACATCCCCAGTAGGGGGTATGCAAGAGGCAGCTGATCGATGACTCTCTCTCATCGATGTTTCTAACTCTGTATCTCTCTCCCTTCCTCTCTGTACAAAATCAATAAAATATACTTAAAAAAATATATATATATCTTTATTACTCATTTAGAGAGGAAAGAGAGATGGAAACATCAATGATGAGAGAGAATCACTGATCAGCTGCCTCCTGCACGCCCCACACTGGGAATCGAACCACGACCTCCTGCTTCACAGGTTGAATGCTCAACCACTGAGCCATGCCAGCTGGGCTGTTAGCTTCCTACTAGAGGCCTGAGGGGGGTAGGGGTGTCCCTCAGCCCAGCCTGCATCCTCTCAAATCTTGGACCTTTGAGGGATGTCAGACTGCCCATTTAGGCCCAATCCCACCTGGCTCCCAACCACTCGTCTGCCTGCCCGCCCGATTGCCCCTAACAACTCCCCTGCCAGTCTGATCAATGCCTAACTGCTCCCCTGCTGGCCAGATTGCCCCCAACTGCCCTCCCCTGTAGGCCTGGTCTCCCCCTTCAACTGCCCTCCCCTGCTGCCATCTTGTGTCCACATGTGGGCGGTCATCTTTGACCAAAATGCCAAATGATAACCCTGCCAGCTGGGAGTGTCCCTAACCAGTCAGTGAAGAGCCCACCTCCCACCTCATCTCAGGTCACTCCTAAGTAACACTATGAAACAAGCTTCAGAGGTGAAAAAACTGAAGGAGACCAAGAAATCAAAGGAAAATGGAGAACATTGAAGAGAAGGACCCCTCCCCCGCCCTCTTACATCCCTTGAAGAGTTTGCTCCCGAATTCAATCCAGCCTGACTCACGCTGTGGCGGGATGATCTTCACTTTGATCTCTTTGGTGGCGTTGGGTGTGGTGTTGAGTGGCTTGTACTTCTTCTCTGCGTGGGGCGCAGGTTCTCCTGGGGCAGCTGCGGAGCTGTTAGGAGAGGAGCTGTCAAAAACACGGCCCTTCTTTCCCCTGGCCTCAGACCCAGCCCACTCAGGAGTTCAGCACAGAGTCCCTACCTCTGACGCTTGAGGGGAATAGGCTTAAGGTTGTATTTGTCAGAAACCATCACGGCACTGGCGTTCTTCTTCACAGGCACCAAAGACGGGGTCTCCAGCTCTAGTCCTGCGGAAGAGACGGGGGTGGGGTTGAATTCGCACCCACCTTCTTGACTTTTGTTGTTAAAGATTTTTAATTGATTTTTTTTAAATGTCATTCTTTTTTTTTTTTTAAACATATTTTATTGATTTGTACAGAGAGGAAGGGAGAGAGATAGAGAGCTATGAACATCGATGAGAGAGAGTCATCGACTAGCTGCCTCCTTAACAGCCCCTACTGGGGATATGCCCGCAACCAAGGTATCGAACCGGAATCGAACCCGGGTCCCCTCAGTCCCCAAGCCGACACTCTATCCACTGAGCCAAACCGGTTTCGGCTTTTAATTGATCTTTAGAGAGAGAGTAAGGGAGAGGAAAAGAGAGAAACATCAATGTGAGAGCAAAACATTGATGTTGTTCCCTCCTGGGGATCCAGCCCACAGCCTGGGCATGTGCCCGGACCGGGAATGAAGCCAGTGGCCTTTTGGTGCACAGGACAATATCCAACCAAGCCACACTGGCCAGGGCACCTTCCTGACTTTTCCTCTCGGTTATTTGGCCTTGAGTAATCCTGAGCTTCCCCGCTCGTCTTTTTGCATATCACAATCCAGCAGTTCCACCACGGGCCCTGGCGTGCACATGCCCAGAGCCCCCGCCTGCCAGCAGCCTCACCAGTGGAGCGGAACTTGGCGTGACTGGGCGCTGTGGTTCGCAGAGACTTAGGCTTCTCCTTCTTCTTCTCAGGGGCTTCCTCAGCCCGGGGCTCAGCCTTCACCTCAGTTAAAGGTCGATCAGGGGGGGTGGTCCGGCCCTTTCCCTCTTCTTTTCGCTTTTTCTTATCTTTCTCTGTGGTGGAAATACAAAGTAGAAAAAGATTTTGAGATAAAGAGAAAGACCGCCCGTAGCCTTGAAGCAGGCTGAAGCCACTGGGAGATAAAGGACCTGGGAGCTCACCAGCAGGCTGGGCACTGCTCTGGGAGCGGATGACAGCCATCCAGTCGCTGACGAGGACGGAGGCCAACTTCCGGAGCTCTGAGGGGACAAAAAGAGGAAAAGCATAAATAACCGAAAATAGAGATGGTTGAACATTTATTACAGAACACATTATAAAAACTGCATCACTGCTTCATATATACAGGGTGGGTTTATAGTTGTGAGTCCATGAAACAGTTTCCTCTTTATTTTTATTTTATTTTTTTTAAATAACATTTTATTGATTGTTTACAGAGAGAAAGGGAGAAGGATAGAGAGTTAGAAACATCGATGAGAAAGAATCATCGATCAGCTGCCTCTTGCACAGCCTCCACTGGGGCTGTGCCTGCAACCAAGGTACGTGCCCTTGATCGGAATTGAAACTGGGACCTTTCAGTCCCAGGCCGATGCTCTATCCACTGAGCCAAAGTGGTTTGAGCACTTTGTTACTTTTTAAAATATATTTTTATTAATTACAGAGAGGAAGGGAGACGAGGGAAATACTGATGTGAGATTATAACATCGACTCATATCACATAAAAGCATAGCTATTAGTCACAAAATTAGAAAGGCAGAATGAACCAAATATCTATGCTCTCCCCTTTCTGTTAAAAGAGAAACTAGCCCTAGCAGTTTGGCCCAGTGGATAAAGAGTTGGCCCTTGTACTGAAGGGTTGCAGGTTCGATTCCAGTCAAGGGCACATACCTCAGTTGCAGGCTCAATCCCCAGCTCTGGTCAGAGTGTGTGTAGGAGGCAACCAATTGATCTCTCTCTCACATCGATATTTCTCTGTCCTCCCTCCCTTCCACTTTCTAAAAAAAGATCAATGGAAAAAATATCAAATGAGGATTAAAAAAATACCAGAAACTAAAATGATGAGAAAGATAGCAGAGTTCAAGATCTGAAGGACTGCTAGCTTCTAAAACGAACGCATTATTCTGTGTTGTCCTAAAGGCAAACGATACAAAGGAAGCTAACTTAGATTCATTTTACAAGACTTTCTAGGCAATCTTTTTAGGAAATCAATTAAGTATGTCAAGGATGAAAAAAGAGCTGAAAAACAGACCAATTTAGAGTTGTGGTTTATTTAAAGAAAAAAGGTCAGAGAATTAAAAAAAAAAAAAATTCGTTTGTTGCTCTTTCTTTTTGTAGTCAGCAAATAACATCTCTTATCTATGGCATCTCTCTTCCTGACATTTCCACTTTCAGACTCATATAATGAGCTTGTCATATTAAAATTAAAACTTAACTTTTCAAAATAGTCACAAATTGGCAATTTCTGTACCTAAGGAAAGATGAATCCCAATGTATCTATCCCCAATGCAGGAAAACCATAAAACCTTTTCAGAGCAATTGATAGTATGGTCCAGTGAGACTCTAAAGAAAGTATAATAATTAAAACTATATTAAATGGCCGGGACCGGTTTGGCTCAATGGATAGAGCGTCGGCTTGGGGACTGAAGGGACCCGGGTTCGATTCCGGTCAAGGGCATGTACCTTGGTTGCGGGCATATCCCCGGTAGGGGATGTGCAAGAGGCAGCTGATTGATGACTCTCTCTCATCGATGTTTCTAACTCTCTATCTCTCTCCCTTCCTCTCTGTACAAAATCAATAAAATATATATTAAAAAAAAAAAAAAAAAAAAAAAAAAAAAAAAAAACTATATTAAATGAAGGCAGAAAAATTGAGCCAGCCAGAAAACAGGAACAATATATCTGATAAAGAAGGAACAGATGTGCAATGACTTAATGGACTTTCTGGGATTTATATTATGCTATAAATTATTATTACTACAGATTAGAGGCCTGGTGCGTGAAATTCATGCACTCGAGGGGGTGTGGGGGGGACGGACTCCTCAGCCCGGCCTGCACCCTCTCGCTGTCCAGGATCCCTCAGGGGATGTCTGATTGCCGGCTTAGGTCCTAGACCAGCAGTTGGACATCCTTAGCACTGCCATGGAGGCGGGAGAGGCTCTCACCCAGCTCAGGGCTTCTGGCTGAGCAGTGCTCCCTGTGGGAGAGCACTGGCCATCAGGGACCACTGTGTGTAGGAGGCAACCAATTGATGTCTCTCTCTCACATCGATATTTCTCTGTCCTCCCTCTCTTCCACTTTCTAAAAAAAGATCAGTGGAATTGGGCGTCTGCTCCCAGGTGGCCAGTGTACATCACATCGACCGGTTGTTCTGCCGTTCGGTCAATTTGCATATTAGCCTTTTATTATATAGGATACTCTGAGATGTCACAAAGATATTGAAGTGCTTTGTATCTAAAAGGACCTAAAAACTGGGAATTAATACAACTACAAGAATTGAAAGTTAGAGGCCCTGGCCAGCCTGGGTCAGTTGGTTGAGCATAGGAAAGTCACCAGCTCGATTATGGGTCAGAGCACATGGCTGTGCTATGGGCTAGATCCCCAGTAGGGGGTGCACAATAGGCAACTGATCAATGTTTATCACTCTCTCCTTTCTTCTCTCTCTCTAGTTAATAAAAACTTATTTTTAAAAGAAGAGAGCTCAGCCGGCATGGCTCCATGGTTGACCATTGACCTATGAACCAGGAAGTCATGGTTCAATTTCCGACAGGGCAATATCTACCCAGCCCCGACCCCACTCCCAGCCTTCAACACACTATTGTCTGTATCCCTGACCTGCCCGAACTATACATATCCTCCATATAATAAAAGGCTAATGCACAATTTGCCTCCTCAACTGGGAGTTCGACCAGAGAGCACAATCAGCCAACTGCCCAGCAGTCCCACCCCCTGGCCAGCCCTGCCCCCGCCCGATTACCCCCAAGACTGAACTATCTGGCCTGGGTGCACCAAGAATTCTTAAGAATCAGCTTCTAGCCGAAACCGGTTTGGCTCAGTGGATAGAGCGTCAGTCTGTGGACTGAAAGGTCCCAGATTTGATTCCGGCCAAGGGCATGTACATTGGTTGTGGGCACATCCCCGGTAGGGGGTGTGCAGGAGGCAGCTGGTCAATGTTTCTCTCTCATCGACGTTTCTTGCTCTCTATCCCTCTCCCTTCCTCTCTGTGAAAAATCAATAAAATATATTAAAAAAAGAAAAAGAAAAAAGAAATCAGTTTCCAGCCCTGGCCGGGTAGCTCAATTGATTAGAGCATCATCCTGGTACAACAAGGTTGCTGGTTCTATCCCTAGTCAGGACACAATGAATGCATAAATAAGTGAAACAACAGAACAATATTTTTCTCTCTGTCTTTAAAATAAAAAAAGAAAAAGAGAAAGAAAAAAAAAGAATCAGCTCTGGTTAAAGCATGGTACCTTATATCATCCTCAATAGTAGAGAAATGAACAAATCCCATTAGAAATTGAGACCAGGCGACAGGGGACAGGTTAGAGGAACTGAATTTTCAAAAAACAGAGGAAAGCAACAGGAAGTACGACGAGTAAGGAAGGAAGGGTATTAAGTATAAGAAATGGAGGAAGGCCCAGAGAGGAAGAACTGGCTCCTACCTTCATCCTCACTTGACTTGCTCAGTTGCTTCACCAGTTTGGCTGTGTTGTTCTGTGGGAGACGGGGAACAGCGGAAAGATAAATGCCAGGACAGTAAGGCCACTCAGAGCTCACAAGCCCCCAAACTCACTCCCCATCTCCTTACAGCCCCTTAACAGTGACTATGTGGAAACAGTCTAATGTAAAAACCTTTGTGGAAAAGAAAAAAATCTTTGTGGGGCCCTAGCTGGTTCGGCTCAGTAGATAGAGCAGTCAGCCTGCGGAACAAAAGGGTCCCAGGCATATTCCGGTCAAGGGCATGTATCTTGGTTGCAGGCTCTACCCTGGCCCGGGCCTAGGCCAGGTGTGTGCAGGAGGCAACCAATCCATGTGTTTCTCTCACACTGATATTTCTCTGTATTCCATTGTCTCTAGAAATCAACAGAAAAATATCCTCGGGCGAGGATTAAAAAAACAAACAAACCCCAAAACCACAAAAACTTTGTGGGCATAGTTTATTTTTTAAAAAAATATATTTTATTGATTTTTTTACAGAGAGGAAGAGAAAGGGATAGAGAGTTAGAAACATCGATGAGAGAGAATCATTGATCAGCTGCCTCTTGCACACTCGGCTGTGGGCATAGTTTAATCCTTAAAATAATCCAGTTAGGTAGATACAATTATTCCCATTTTATAGATGAAAAAGACTGAGGCTCAGAAATATGGAGTGCCCCGCCAAAACCGATTTGGCTCAGTGGATAGAGTGTCAGTTTGCAGACTAAAAGGTCCCAGGTTCGATTCTGGCCAGGAGCATGTGCATTGTTTGCTGGCACATCCCCAGTAGGTCAATGTTTCTCTCTCATCGACGTTTCTAGCTCTCTATCCCTCTCTCTTCCTCTCTGTGGAAAATTAATGAAAATAATTTTTTTTTTAAATTAAGAAGAAAAAAAAAAAGAAATATGAAGTGTCCCAAGGACACCTATTGAAGGAGATAAATTTGAACCACGTCTTCCAATTCCAATTTTTCCTACCATTTCACCTCACAGGCCCAAGGATCACAGTCTCCTCAGAGTCAGTGTAAGTTTCTCATGTCAGGCTCAACCAAAAAAGCGACACTGAGGTAGGAAAGACGGAAGGTACCTGCTTGAGATGGTCCACGGTGAGTGGTAGGTGCTGTAAGGTCAACAGAATTTGCTGCAACAGGGGAATGTTGTTGGTTGTCTTTGAATATGTCAGCCAATTGTTAAGAAGCTTGTAGCCACCGACATCAATAAACCTGCAGGCAGGTGGGAGGAGGAGTTGATGCCCTTCCTGGACTTCGGAAGGACCACATCCCACACTCCTCGTTCCCCACCAACAACCCAGGAACCCCATCGCAGTCACCCAGATCCCCACTTACTTGACCAATACTTCTGATGACTGGGTCTGCAGGAGAATGTTCAAGTAAGTGCACCGACTCACCATCTTCCGTGCCTCCTTCATCAGGCTGTAGGAGAGGGACAGGTTAGGAACCGAGCAGCCACAGAGCGCCTCTTCTTTCCTCAGCAGAGCCTCTAGCCCGAGAGCACCTGCACATCCCTGGTCACTTGGGACTTTGCTACAGGGGGAAGGTCACATGGCCTCTAGGTGGATGGGATGGATCCACAGTGAAATGAAAATCCACGGGAGGATGGAAGAGAACTTGATCTGGGCAGGTGGGGGCGCGGAGATGACCATTGCTGCTCCCCTAACACACAGGCCACATCTGATTCTGCTCACAGGTAAAGCGTCCCAACCGCCAACACCCAGCCTTTCCTCCAGGATGGGCTTAGCAATTTGCTCCCCCTGGGAAACTTAGGATCCCTGAAGGAAATGACAGTTTGGGGATGTGAAACATGACCAACCCAAAATAGCACCAAGACTCCCTTGTGACTGTGGATATCCAAATATCTAACTCCATTATAGTCAGGAACCAAGGGATCACCTTTTCCTAGCACTTATTCTAAAATTACTGGGTTTCAATTCCACTTTCCCTTTCCTCTCCAGAACACCTAGCCTGTCTGCCTTATTATAACACACAATATCCTCCACCCGCAGCACATGGAAATAGGACTCACCTGAAGATCTTGGAAATCCCGTCCGCACTCTTGACTTCACCATCTCGGTTAAGGAAGCTGTCCAGGCCCTTGAGAAGCTCTTTGGGGTCTATGGGACCTGAACCCATGGTCCAAGTTCCTAAGATGAGAGGACAAAACAAACCAACAGAATAAGCAGGGGGCAAGGACACTGCCAGTGTGCCCTCTAAAAATCCCATTTATACATTTGACAAAACAAATTATTCAATTTATGTTCAACTACACATGCTTTTCAAGAAAAGAAAAATCAAGAGAGACCATTGGCAGCACTGAGCACACAGCCTGGCAAGGTAAGCCTGGCTCCATGACTAAAGGGAAGACAAGTTAGCGGCAGGACTGGGCAGCACAGTCCTCTCCCCACAGGTACGGCCTTCCTAAGACAGCTGAGCTCCATCAGATAGCACAGAGCTAACGTTCACACTCCTCTAGCAAAATTCTCAGAGTTATTTTTTACTTATTAAGTCCTGGCTCTCTTTTTTTGCTGGTAAATCTGGTTTGAAAACAAACAAAACTGTGACTTGGAAATAACTGGGCCAATCCTGGGTGTTGGGCTAACTGTCTGCTAAGAGTAGCTGATTCTTTATCTTAGCCCAAAAGTGGCACAATATGCGCTGCTTGCACCAGTCAGCAATCTTGGGTAAAACGATAGGTGACAGAGGAGAAACAAAACTTGAAAACAGGATCTTCCCCCAGGGGACATGTGGGGAGCTCCCAGAAATGGAGACAAATGGAAGCAAAAGAAATAAAGCAGGTCCTCCTAAGTCTTAAGTAGAATGTCACTTGTTAACAAACACTGCACAGGTTTTTATTGGTTCAGAGAGCAAGGTTTATGGTTTCAATGGTGAAGATGCAAATCTGACCCCCTATTTCTAACCACCTCAAAATCTTATCATTATTCAAGATCTCTAAGAAAGGCCTGAAATTAGAAACCATGGAGCCAAAAAGAATAAAGGTAGAAGCTGGAAAAAATGCCATTACATTGTAAGTAGCTAGTTTAGACCAGTTAGAAAAAGAATTGAAGTTAAACTGCTGATGTGGGACAGAGAATTGTGAAGCAATTTCTAGGCTAGAAACCAAGTTCCAGAGAGGAAGTTGAGAATCAATATGGTTCTGATTGGTATTTTTATCCACAAAGCCTCGAAACACCTCTAAGAACAGAAAAAAAGGAAAGCCATCTCAGTAATAATTGCATTTGGGAAATCAAATGAACACGCGGGCAGGAAGACGGCAGAATGCTTCTAGAACAGTTAACAGGCAAGGTCCCTGCAGAAGTGTGGGGAAATCAAGGTTTTACAAAGCTCTATTTTGTGCAGAAAGTTTTCTTATAATGTAATTCGCAGACTTATTAGTTCGCAGATAAAAAAACAAACCCAACAATCTTAACCTTTAAGTCCTTCCAACAAAAAGGCCACTAAATTTCAAAATGCATAGGCCCTAACAACCTAGGTAAGAAAAGGCAGAAGCAGGGAGGAGACTGGTTCTTGAGGTCACAAACTGTGGGCTGCAGAGGAGAGAGGTAAATGCTGCGGGAGCAAATTTGGGCTAATTGTGCTGTGACTGCCACCTGCTCTCCACAGGCCAGTGGAACCTGAAGTCAGAGGAAAACATCACTGAAGTAGCTAACCAGGCCAAACCGCTGAGCCATGTGATTCTTAGAGACAAAGAGGGATAGAGGGATTTTTCCACATACTGTAAGATACTTGCCCTATAAAGATATATAGATACAATAAAGGGAAATATAAAACAGATTTCCCATCTATTGGATACTGAAAAGACAATGAACCTAAACAACATATTATCAGCAACCAAGATAAATACAATTTGACAAAAAACATTCAACTAAACTAACATCACTTCAAACCAGTCCTTCCTGAATACAGCTGATCCCACTTATTTGAGTCAAACCCAGAGGTGAATATATCTCACCATAATCCAATTCATTCAGAATAGAACTCCCTTGCCCTAGCTGGTCTGGCTCAGTGGATAGAGCATGGGCCTGTGAAGTGAAAGGTCCTAGGTTCAATTCTGGTCAAGGGCACATGCCAGGGTTGTGGGCTCAATCCCCATCGGGGAATTTGCAGGAGGCAGCCCATCAACGATTCTCTATCATAGATGTTTCTCTCTCTCTTTCCCTTCTTCTCTGAAATCAACAAAAATATATTTTTTTAAAAAAATAGAACTCCTTTTTACATATGCAAATATCAGTTAAGCTAACTGACCTGTTACTCTACTTCCTTCAGGAACTATAAACAAATTACCCTGAGCTAAAATGATCTTTCACATAAGAGAGCTGGAGACAAAAGAGATCAATTAGTACAGCGCTAAATTCTACCTATGCCTTCTGTTGGAATGGGCCCCAGTAATTTTCCCATTCCCACTCATAAAAAGCAAGAATAGTCAAGAGAAGCTAGGAGACAAAGAAGAGGAAATGTTAAATATTCACTTTTCCATTATTATCCTCTATTGTATTTGGAAGTACAATAAATTAAATTTTGTATCACAAGCACCCATGTTATGATTAAAAGGTGTTTTCTCATTAACTTTCCTACAGGAAGATCAGCTTTCACTCGTTTAATATTTAGGATCCTAAGTGTCTGGCAACCCAATTTCCCTCTTTTGAAGTCAGTAAAATTTGAGATAAGTCCAAGATATTCAAGTGGAAAGGAATAAAGAGCCTACATTCTTGGCACAGGCCTCCAGCAGAAAAGGCAATTAGCTGATCAGGGCGAAGCGGTGACCAAGGGCCATACATTACCTAGTCATATGGAGACTGCAATGGAAGCTTGATTTCTGGAACCAGAAATAATCCAGCACCGGATCTACTTTAATTTCCTTGAAGGCAGTACAAAAAAGGGGCAGGGGCCCTGGCCTATCTTCACCAGGTCCTCTGTGGGGCTTTCCTCATGGAGGAACTGCAGGCTGAGACGGCCACACTGATACAGGCACTGGCGAGATTTCTAGCGTCTTACCAGAGATACAGTTTGAAAGTAGGGACACCAACTCCTGCCTCCACAATGAAATATACTTGCAGGTTATTTTATTACATAGGGTGGAAAGTATTTAACTTGGCTGAAGTTATGCCATTCCTATTACCAAAACAGAACTTGACTGGCTCAGGACAAAAATTCTATACAACTCCTTTTAAAAATAATGACAATACTCTTTCTAGCAAAGTAGGCCTTTACCTTAACTTAAAGGCTTGAGCATTTCTGGAAATGAAAATAATTTGTACTTAATCCTTTCCATTCCCCTTCCTTTCTTCGGTGTTTGAGGCCTTGCAGCATGACTCAACAGCGGCATGAATTAGGTCTCTGGCAATTCCGATGTTGTTCCCTTCTTCTAAGTAGTCCCTGTCCCTCACTCATTTTGAAAACCTGGTACATGAGCTCACCAGAAGCTTATTCATAAAAGCATCACCCCTACCTCATCCCCATCCCCACAGGAAAAGATTCCAGAATAGAACTCTGGCCACAATCTACAAGGATCAGGTGCTCTGGAAGGATTTGGCTCCAGAAGACTTTGCTTCCCACCTCCCCTTTAATAAGATTTTATTAATCTCCTGCTCACTAGAGATCAGGAGCCCCAGGGGGCAAATGTTCAGCTCCCAAGGAAAGTATGCGGCAGAGGCATCTGGCAAACTGCTTAAAAGATTAAAAACTTAAAAACAAACAAACAAAAAAAACTTGTGGTCAACAGACATGTCCCTCCCATCCAATCCATAATAATTTGAGAATTCACACTAGTAGCTCTGAAGTTTCACCCAAGTCACCATGGCAGTTGTACAAATGACTTTCCAGTTCTGCCTAGAACCATGATTCAATGTAGGACTTTTAAAAAAGTACAAGTATATGGAGAGACTGATAAAGATTTGACTTTGAAAAAGTAGAAGGGACAGGACATCAATTACCAACCTCAGAGAGGGCCTGGTCTTTCAATATGCACCAATTGCTACAGCACTGCATGAGTTGAAAATGAAGACAGTATCCTACCATTGTTAAGGAATTTTACAAAGTAGGGAAACTCAAAAAGGTGGCTCTTGGGATAAAAGAAACGAGGCTGTGAAATGTAATACCAGAAAGGTTTTGCTTACCAGAAACCGAGGCTTGAATCCCCCTGCCTTGAGTTTACAACTGCCGCCTCCTTTCCTAAGATTCACTTCTCATCCCAGTACCATGTACAGGAGCTAAGCAACAGGGAACCTGATACAGCACTGAACAGTTTAGCCCCAAACGGAGTGGGAATAAGAGAAGAAATTCCTAAAATACCCCTCTCCCCCCCCTTCTCATTATACAAAGCAACACAACACAGGAGGCCCAAGGACAGGTTCCTGAGCAGAAATGACATTTGTCATTAGGCTCCATTTGTCTCGTTACTTTCAGAAGCCCTTGTCTGCCTCCAGTATGCATCCCCCCCCCCCCCCCCCAACTCACACTCCCTCAAAGGCTGTCTTATAATTTTCCCACCCCTGGCAACTTAGGTGAGGAATACTTCCAAGCAGTTGTGATGAGTAAAAGGTGAAAAGCATCAGGCTGTTATTGTTAAAAAACTAGAGCTGCCCAAGGAAATGAACAGCTTGAAGACCTAATTTCTGTGTTTTTCCTTTTCAAATTACGGCTTTAAAATATTCTAAAGGTCTTTTCTTGGCTACGTGCACTGGGAGGCCAGAAGGCATGAGCTCAGGGGTGGGGTTTCCAGAGGGAGGAGAGAGGAAGCAAGCAGATTACATCACCTTTCAAGGACGCTCCTCCCCCAGACCAAGTTTCTAGGGCGGCCCTAGGCTCTGGATTGCAAACGGGGAGAAAAACAAAGAGGGAGGGACGCCATCTTGTAATGGAGAAAATTTAAAAGGCCACTCCTGCTATGCCGGCAGTCACATTAAAAAACGCTTTCTGGGGAGGGGTGGGGGTGAAAAAAAATAACAATAATTCTATCCCAGTCTCCCATCCTGAAGTCTTTGACCTATTTTGATTAAGAGCGTTGTGAAAGCAAAAGCAATTAAAATATTAACAATTTATGCGGGGAAGAATTGAATTTGCAATTGAAGTTTAACCTACCATCGACCACCCCCATCCTCCAAACAAAAGGAAGCGGAGGAACTTGGACCCCCCCCTCCTTAACAAATAGGGTTGAGGTAGGACCAAAATGGGAGACAACCTGCAACACTGCTTGGAAGACAAAAGGACAAGGAAAGTCGCCATATTGAAGCAGGGAAGGAAAAAAAAAATCCTTTAACGACACAAATCTAGAAAGCTAGCATTCAAGCGCACTAAATGGCTTTAAAAATTAATACTCCTGAATTCCACATTTCCCGACCTTCCCAACCTCTATACCCACCAATAGTATCAAGTTAAAATGTTAATCTCTTGCTTTTAAATAACTTATGCAATCTCCAACAATTACAAGACATTTACTTTTAACTATCTTGTATGTACTGGCACTAAGATTATATTTTGTCCTGAATTGTGTCTTGCAATCTTTATTTCTAGATTGCCACCTATTTTAACCACAAATATACCCCAAGCATATTACATTAAATTGAGAGGATTTAACAATCTTAAGTCATAGCCAGCTAATATTTCTGTGCCCATCTCCTTACCCTGCAATCTTTATGTACAGATTGCTTATTAATCTGGCAAATTGAAAGGCGCCCTGCTCGTCTCACACACAAAGAAGTGGGCCTCCGGAGCCACAAGACCCACCATCTTTTGTATGTGAGCTCATTAACCCTTTTGAAGACTGCTGCTCAAGCGAGGAAGGTAACCGTCCTCATTAAAAAGCAAACTTAGCGCTTTGGCAGTCTGGCAATTGGCTGGATTACCAAGGGTTAACCATCAAATCCTCCCTTGCTGGCCTCCCTCCGCGCTCCTGGCCTGCGGCGGGGCAGGGCAGAGGCAGGTGGCGGAGAGAACGACTTAGAACCAAAGGCTCTTTCAGTGGAGATGAAGGGACCGGTTCGGTCCTTCCTCCAGTTCGCTACTTTGTTCTATGGTCTCATTTCTTCCTCTCATTTTTGGTTTCACCAAGGGAAACGTTGATTTCTCGTTGCAAGGCTCGTTTTTCAAAATTCGACACTTACTATCCAATTTTTTTGCGACGTCAGCACCTCGGGCTCAGGGGGAAGGGGGTTAAAACTTTGGAGAAAAAAAATAAAACCACCAACCAGAACCCAAAACTCTATTTGGGGGGGCTCATTGGATCAAAAAGTCTCTTAGAAAAAACAAAGGCCAACTCAGCAGTCATCCCCCCCCCACCCAACTCCATTTAGGGAGGGGGGGTCGTTAAAAAAAAGTTCTGAGTTGATTAAAAAAAATAGATAAGCGCTGGACAAGTGGACTTGGGTGGGTTTGGAAGGGAGGGTGGTTGATTATTTTTGAAGTTATGTGGTGACGGTCCTTCGGCCACAGATTTCAAGTCCCAGGCAGCGTGGGCTGGCGGGGCGGGCAAAGATGGTGGGAAAGGGCAGAAGACACAAGTGGTTGGGCTGGTGGCTGCTGTTTCCCTTTCCCCCCGCTCAGGATCCTTTCAAGGGCTTAGGTGTTGATGCGGCTCGTTTCTGTTTTCCTGGTGGCCGGCCTGTCTTTCTCCGAGAAAATTCAAACCTGGGATAGAAAGAACACAAGGGGAGGAAGATGTCATCAGTTCGGGCTGCTTTTTAAACACACCCCAGGCGACCGCTTTTGCCGTCTCAAACACCTCCGCGAAAAGTCCGGAAGCTTATAGAAGCCGTGACTCTCAAATAAATCCATGCCAAGTCCGCTCCCAGGCCAACGCTCTAGTAAAATCTTAACCCCCAACCGACAAAACACAAGAACTTACCTCTAAACGAACCCCAGAATGGCGGCTGTCCGCGCGGGCGGAGCCTTTTATACTCGGACACCACCCAATGCGCCCAAATGTGTTAGTGCGTTTCCCTTGTCGCGAGACATTGTGCGCGAGGCGTAAATTCATTGGTTAACCCGAAAGACAACGCGCTAGCTGATTGGCTGTCCTTCCTTCACCTTCGCTCATTCACTACCCGCTTCCGGTCGCTCTGGGCACATTTTCCGCCTCCTTGTTGAGGAGGCGGGACGCGCGTGCGCATGACCGGAGAGACTAGCACCGCCCATTCCTCCGCCTTCACCACTTCCGCCCCCGAAAACATTTCTCATCCTGGATTGGGTGAACGGGGCCGGCGCATGCGTACTGTGGGAACCTCGGCCAAAATCGCTTTCAAAATTGTTTAAAAGGTAAACTATAAGGATACGATTTAAGAATGATAGTGACTGGTTCTTCGAAAACTCAGTTTTGAGGCCGAATTCCACTATGACGCAGTTGAAATTAGCTTCTCCATGACCCGCCCCTTTCTCGCTTCCGTCCTGACGCAAGTGCGTGGCCGCCGGACGCACTACGCTGGTCTTTGCCCCGTCCTAGTCCGTTTCCGGGAGCATGCGCAGTTGCCTTGCCGGCCATTCCTGGTTTGGGCGTGCGTCAAGATGGCGGCCCCCGTGGTGACTAAACTGCTGAGGCGCCTTCCTAATCTTTCGTCCTTCAGGAGTGCCTACGGAGTTCAGGTAACTCCTTGGAGCAGATTTTGTACAACTTCTAGGCCGTCGCTCCGCTTCTGGGAACCCGGGAGCGGAAACTTCCCCTAGTGCTTATACCTTCGCTGTCTAGGCAACACTTTGCTTCCACCACTCTCCCCAGCCCTTCCTTAAATCTCCGTGCATTAAAAAAAATGTTTTATCGATCTTTTACAGAGAGGAAGGGAAAGGACAGAGTCTGAAACATCCATCAGCTGCCTCCTGCACATCCCCAGTCCACAACCAAGGTCCATGCCCTTGACCGGAATTGAGCCTGGGACCCTTAAGTCCGGAGGCCTCGCTCTATCCACTGAGCCAAACCGGTTTCTGCTCTCCGTGCGTTTTTTAAAAATGCTCACTGGAGGATAAGTTTATTGTTTTTTAGAGGAAAGGAGAGAGAAAAACAACCATCAGTTGCCTCCCGTGCGCACCCCGCACCAGGAATCGAATTGGCAACCTAGGTATGTGCCCTGACAGGGAATCCAAAGTGTATGGTGTATGGAGGACGCCCCAATCCATTGAGCCATCCCGGCCAGGGCTCCGTGCAGTTTTTAATCTCCAGCCAGGGCAAAAAGCCAGGTTTAGATCCCATCCTCTTCCCAAATTGGCATCTTGGCTAAGTAGGTGAGGAATGGCCCCTCCCGATCCTGTCATGGGCAACCAGCTCAACTCTACAGATGGTGTCTGAATCTGTGATGCCCTGGAGTGTCCTTGGGTTCCCGGCATGCACTTCTACCAGCCCTGCTGTCTCCCAGTGAAGCCAGGACACATTATCTCCACCTGGTGACCGGCATCTCGGCCCTCCATCTCACTAAATCCGATTATCAGAGCATATGAGAAAGTTTAACTCAGTCCTTTGGATTGAGGTTTCCCTCCAGCCTCATGTACTCACCATTCTGGTGGTTCTTGGTGGGGCAGGGCACGGATTTGGTGGGGCCTGGTGAGATCGGAAGGCTTGCCCAGCTGCCACTCCCTAAGGGGACTGCAGAGTGGTGACAGGGTCACAACGGAGCTAATGACAGGCCTGGTAGCTTTAAAGCTGGCGTTAGGACTCGTTTGTTCCTCCCTATGGAATGTTGACCTTCAGCTTTTATAAAGCTGGGGACGCAGTGATCCTTGAGCGGACTGAGTTGGAGGTGCCCCTGTGCTGACATCCCTTCCGCGCCATCTTACTGCCAAGGAGCTAACACCCCCCTTTTCCTTCCTTCGCCCTTCTCCACCCACTAGGCTCAATTCACCCCAAAAAACAGGAATACCTTATATGTGCCTGGTTTTTAAGTTGCCCTCTCCACTCCAATAAGATGGCCTCTCGGTCTCCTGTACTAGTTATCCTCTGATATAAGCATCTTTCGGGACCCAGGTGGAGATTGGTAGAGTGATTGTTGATAATGTCAGTTTAACCCCAACAAATATGCTATCTTCCACGTGTGTGTGTGTGTGTGTGTGTGTGTGTGTGTATCATATAATGCTATATTCCATTAACACAATGGATGTGTGTTCCCCTTCTCCCTGATGTATTAGGAGCAAAACAGTCGAATTTTTAAAAAATATATATATATTTTGTTGATTTTTTACAGAGAAGAAGGTAGAGAAATAGAGACTTAGAAATATCAATGAGAGAGAAACATCGATCAGCTGCCTCCTGCACCCCCCCCCCCCCCCACTACGGATGTGCCCACAACCAAGGTACATGCCCTTCACCGGAATCGAATCTGGGACCTTTCAGTCCGCAGACCGATGCTCCATCCACGAGCCAAACCAGTTAGGGCTGGATTTCTTATTTGAGTTCACTTTTTATTATCACCCTTTCATAGGTTCCCTTCCAAACTCTTAGCACTGAAGCCCCCCTTGAGGAAGATTCTTTGCCCATTTCCCCTTATGAGAATGAACCCTGGAAATACCTGGACTCAGAAGGTAAGTCTAAGGGGGGAGAGTGTACTGTAGGGTGGGAAGTAAATGGGCAGAGACAGCCCCTTCACCCTAGCATTTGTGGTCTCTCAATTCAGAATACCAGACCCGCTATGGTTCTCGCCCCGTTTGGGCTGACTACCGACGCAACCACAAAGGCGGAGTACCCCCACAGAAGACTCGAAAGACCTGCATTGTGAGTGTCTGAGAGTGGCACATGGAGGGGATGTGCAGTGGGGTGGGGGCCACAGTGACAGCGGCAGCGCATGCCTTCTGGCAGGGCTTGGAACGCTGTCACCTGCCACTTTCCTCTCTCTGCAGCGCAAAGATAAAGTCGCTGGGAATCCCTGCCCCATCTGCCGGGATCACAAGTTGCACGTCGACTTTAGGGTAAGGAGAATCTTGTTTCCCAGAGAGGGTTTGGAGCCTCTGTATGTTGTTGAAGAGATTGCCTGGCACTCCTGCACCCCATTTTGCACTGGCTTCCTGGAACTATAAAAACATCCTCCCTCTAGTCATTTGCCCTCCACTGTGTACTGTACTAAACCTTGTCCCTATGGAATTGACAGTTGGAATTGGCAGGCAAGAAAAGGGCTTGTTCCTAATGGATTAGTTTTATCCATCGCGATTATTAGCAAGGAGATCGGACTGGTTTTTCCTGAGGTTTTATTCCTTGTCATGTTGCTGTTTGGTGGCAGGCTGTGGCTTGCAACTGGAGAGCAGGTATACACAGCTCTCTGAGGAGGACAGGACTGGCTCCTGACAGAATTAAACGTACAAACCTGACCGTGGGAGCATGCTCTTCTGCGCGCAGTGACGTGGCAGACCAGAAGCTGGAGCTGGTTGCTGTGGGAGCTGCAGGGCCTCTGTCAGCGGGGGAGGGCGTGTGACGTTCTCAGCCCCTTTCTGACGCAGGGTGTAGAGGAGTCCAATAGGGAACTTCTCAATTTCCACTGTGTACAACCTAGAATAATAAAAGCCGTAACATGCCAATTAGACCGACGAGCTGCCAGGCGAAGCCGGGGCTGTGCGGGAAGCCCAGGTCTCGATGCCAGAGGGAAGCCGGTGCCGGCATCGGGGGAAGGAAGGCCTACTCTTGCATGGATTTTATGCATCCGGCTTCTAGTTGGTTAATAAAAGGGTATTGTAACTAATTTTGTACAGTTAATAATCACATCACAAGGGAGGGAGGAAAATTACAGATTAATGGTGTGGATGACTCTGCCTTCCATTCCAGTTCCACAAACGGACCTGTGTACTCCTTGGGCCTCATTTCCGTTGATTAACTTGCTAGCTGAGAGTCATTCTACATCGTCAACTTTAAGATTGATTGGAGTCATCCATACATGCACAATACAACATAGACTATTTTTCCGGGTGATTTTGGGGAAGGCCGCTGCCCCGGTTTTTTGCGTGAGGGCTGATTTTAGAGCCCACGCCCTGGAGGGGAGAGTTCTGTCTAAGTCTCAGTGACAGAGTGTAGGGGGTGCATGTGAAGTGGGTGAGAGACCAGGAAAGCGGAACTGTTTGCTGGAGTTTTCTTTCTTTTTTTTAAAATATATTTTATTGATTTTTTACGGAGAGAAAGGGAGAGAGATAGTTAGAAACATTGATGAGAAAGAGTCATCGATCAGCTGCCTCTTGCACATCCCTACTGGGGATATGCCCGCAACCAAGGTACATGCCCTTGACCGGAATCGAACCCAGGACCCTTCAGTCCCCAAGCCGACGCTCTATCCATTGAGCCAAACCGGTTTTGGCTGTTTGCTGGAGTTTTCATGAATGTGTCCAGTCAAGTGATGGGACTAAAACTGAGACATGGGGGGGCAGCAGCGAGAGGCATCAAGGGGTTCGGTCATGTGTGGTGTGCAGGGATTGTGCACTGCTAGTCTCTCAGGGTCCTCCTGCACTCCCCCACTCCTTTCTCCACCTTTTCTCACAGAACGTGAAGCTCTTGCAACAGTTTGTCTGTGCTCACACGGGCATCATCTTCCATGCGCCATACACAGGTGAGCCCCTCATCCTTGTCTCCACCATAATAGCTCTTCCAGAGCACTTCATTTGGCCAGACAGCAGGTATGATGGCTCCTGCCATGGCATAAAAGGTGCAATCGAATCTTTTGGAAATCGTGGCTTACTGGGGATACTCACATGCTAAAAACATGTGGACAAAAGATGCAGGCTAGTGTCATTGTAAGCAAAACTAAAGATAGATCTTGAAATGTAAATGGAGGTGATTTTCTTTAGGACTCAGCTTTTTTTTCTTTTTTTTTTTTTAAGAGAGAGAGAGAAAGGAAGAGGGGGTTATGGAGAACTATTCACAAGAGAGTGAAACAATCAGCTGCCTCCACACGCCCAATCCTGGGGATTGAGCCCAGAACCTGTGCATGTGCCTTGAACAGGAATCAAACCAGCACCAGCCACACTGGCAAGGGCAGGGCTCTTCACTTCTACAGAAAGCTCAGTGGGTAGAGCGTCGGCCTATGGACTGAAGGATCCCAGGTTTGATTCTGGTCAAGGACACATGCCTAGGTTGCGGGCTCAATTCCCAATAGGGGGCGTGCAGGAGGCAGCTGATTCATGACACTCATCATTGATGTTTCTATCTCTCCTCCCTTTCTCTCTGAAGCTTTCTTATAAATTTACTATTGACAATTCAATTGGATTTCCCAAATTTGGAGTTGTAAATTTAACAATTCAAGATTACATCTAGCCCTAACCGATTTGGCTTAGTGACTAGAGGTCGTCCTTTCGACTGAAAGGTCCCTGGTTTGATTCCCGTCAAGGGCACATACCTTGGTTGCGGGCACATCTCCAGTAGGGAGTGTGCAGGAGGCAGGTGATAGATGTTTCTCATTGATGTTTGTAGCTCTCTATCCATCTCTCTTCCTCTCTGTAAAAAATCAATTAAAAAATTTTTTGTTTTTAAAGATTACATCTATTAACTAACTTCAGCCATGGCTAACGCTGACTTACTGCAGCGTCCATTGGTTTTCATTGTTTATAACTGCTTGCAAGCTACAGTGGCAAAATTGAGTAGTTGAGACAAAGACTCTAGGACCTACAACGCCTAAAACATATACATTTTGCCAGGCCTGCTAACAAGATAAATTCGCAAAATATTAATCTCAACTTACCATTTTGGAGATGGCAGCATGAGTGGTGGAATTCGGTTTGTCAGGGAGTTTTAAAAAGTAGTTTGAAGCTCCTGTCAAACTGTAAGAGACCGAAGACTCTTTTGCTACTCTCTCAGATTGCCTTCCCTGAACCTGAAATCCTTCCTTCCTTCACTGAACTCTCCCAGTTAAGCACACTTGCCTTTAACATATATATACTTTTTTTTTATTTTATTGATTTTTTTACAGAGAGGAAGGGAGAGAGATAGAGAGTTAGAAACATCGATGAGAGAGTCATCGATCAGCTGCCTCTTGCATGCCCCCTACTGGGGATGTGGCCACAACCAATCTACATGCCTTTGACCGGAATCGAACCCGGGACCTTTCAGTCCCCAAGCCGATGCTCTATCCACTGAGCCAGACCGGTTAGGGCCACACTTGCCTTTTGAATTATGTTCTGTTCCCTGTTTTCAGCCTTTGCCGTTAAATGGCTTCTCTGAAGTAGCTGGCACTCCTGAGTGCTGACCCCAGCTCTCAGCGGGAGGGAGGGTTTCTCCCCGTCGGGCGTGAAGGGACGGGAGAAGGGTAGCCAACCCTCACCTTTGGAAGTGCTCCCCGTGCCTGGCAGGCTGAGCAGTCACCTTTCTGTTCTCAGGAGTCTGCATGAAGCAGCACAAGAAGCTGACTCAGGCCATCCAGAAAGCCAGGGACCACGGTGAGTGGAGGAGGGCCCAGAGATGTTTGTTAGACACCATGAAGGTGGCTGAGGGCTAGAGAATAGACACAAATGCTCCCTCCTATCTGAGAAGTTAGCACCCATCATGTGCTTCCAATCTCTATCACTCCCTGTCCCTTAGGCCCTCTCCTGAGTCTGTTACCTTGTCATCGTCCCGTTCCTCCTCTGTCCTTTTTCTTCCCTCTTTTTAAGTCCCAGTGCCATAAGAGGGTCTTTGTATAAATTTCTAGCCCTGGCTCCATAATTCTTTCCTATAAAGTAGAGAAAGGGACCCCTCCATGATGGCAGATGCAGCATCATAGCCTGGTGCGGGCTGCACAGCTTGTGGGCAAGAGCCCAGCCGGGTTCCCACTTTCCCTCTCCGCCACTCGGCCTTGGGCAATGTACCCAGTGGCTGTGACTGCGTCCTTCTTTCCTTTATAGGTTATTTCCCTTCCTGGCTCTCTTAGCCTGGACTATCCCCCCACCTTGCTCCCTTCCCTCACTTCTCTCTTTTTTAAATCCCCTAGGTCTCCTTAGTTACCACATCCCCCAGGTTGAACCTCGGGACCTTGACTTCAGGAACTCGCACGGAGCTGTGAATGCGACTCCCCCGGCCCCCACGCTGGTGTCAGGGGACCCCTGGTACCCCTGGTACAGCTGGAAGCAGCCGCCGGAGAGAGAGCTGGCCCGCCTCCGTCGACTGTACCAAGGCCATCTCCGAGAAGAGAGTGGCCCCCCACCCGAGTCCATGCCCGCCGCAGCAGCCGGAGCCGCCCCCGCCGCCCCCGAGCCGCTGTAGCCTGTGGACGAGGGCACCGGGCTTGGGGGATGATGCCTGGGGATTAGGTGCCGGTGCACCCTGAAGCACCGGGCCCGGCCTCAGTGAGAGGAAGTGATTGGGGCTGGGGGAGCGGCAGGGTGCCCGCGGGAAGCCCTGCTCCCCACGCCTCAGCCGGCGGCCAGCCTGTGTGCCGCCGGCTGCTTTCCACAATAAAGCGCTGTGTGCGGATGGTCTGCGGGTGGTGCTGCTGTGGGAGGGCCGCCCGCCAGCCAGGCACTCGGAGCGCCGCAGCCCTGGATGGGCGCTGGGCCCTCTGCCCCGACCAGTTTGTGGGCCCCAGGCCTGAGGCTGTGCGGGGGAGGGGTGGGAGCGCCCTGAGGGAGACGCGCCGCACGGCCAGGCCGGGGGTGGGGGGGGGGGGGCTGCAGGGGGCCGGGGCCGGGGCCTGGGCCGGGCCGGCGGGGGGGGGGGGGGGGGGCGGGGGGATGGGCCCGCCCGGCCGGAGGAAGTAGAGCCCCAGGGGCGGGGCGGGCGGGCGGAAGTGACGCCGGGCGGGCGGGGTTGGCCGTGCACAATGGGCCATGGAGTTCCCGTTTGATGTGGACGCGCTGCTTCCAGAGCGGATCACGGTGCTGGACCAGCACCTGCGGCCCCCGGCCCGTCGACCCGGAACCACTACGCCAGCCCGGTGACATCTCAAACCCCCCCGAGGCCCTGTCCCCGCGCCCCTAGAAACCCGCCCAGGCACCACGCCCCCTTCCCGCTGACAGTGACCCTCCCTTTGACGTCCTGGCTCGACCTGTTGGTGACCTTTCACCCCCACTTAGTGGGGTTGATCTGACTTGGATGTACGACAGGCCACCCCTCGGCCAAATGTGTGGTCCCAGCCGAAGGACGTGGCTGACCGACCTCCCTGCTCCCCGCGGTGACCTCAGGGCGGCGGGCGCGGCCAAAGTTGAGGTCCCAGAGGGTGGGATGGGAAAGTCGGACGGAAGGCCGCCAGGCCCGGGCTTGGCCTAGGTGCTGAGCCTTGGTGGCAGAGCCCCCGGTCAGTGACTCCCTGTCCTCTGCCCACAGCGTGGATGTGCAGCAGCAGCTTATGACCATTGTAGATGAACTGGGCAAGGCTTCCGCCAAGGTACTGGGGACACCTGGGACAGCAGCTAGGGAGCCTGGGTCCTTTGGAAGGGACTTGCAAAATGTCTGTCGTCTCCCTGGCAGGCCCAGCACCTTCCTGCACCCATCACCAGCGCCTCGAGGATGCAGAGTAACCGCCACGTTATGTATGTGCTCAAAGACAGCTCGGCGCGACCGTGAGTCCACAGCGTCTCCATGGCCAGCCCAGCCCCAGCCCCAGCCCCAGCCCCTTGCCTTTGCTCTCAGAGCGGCTCTGTGCTCACTATCCCCCCTCCCACAGGGCTGGAAAAGGAGCTATCATTGGTTTCCTCAAAGTTGGATACAAGAAACTTTTTGTGCTGGTGAGTGCTGGTGGAGGCTGCGAGTTCGTAGGCCTGGATTCCTGAAAACAGTTCCCAAGTTTGGGAGGTCCTAACCAGATATTTGTTGTTTACTCTTAGGATGATTGCGAGGCTCACAATGAGGTGGAACCACTTTGCATCCTGGACTTTTACATCCATGAGACACTTCAGCGCCACGGCCACGGGCGAGACCTCTTTGAGTATATGTTGCAGGTATCACTTCCCTCTCACCGGTCTGTCCAAAGGGAGAAGAAAGGCCTTTGTGTGAGCCCTGCTGGAGCCTCTGCCTCCCCTTCCCCAACGTCCCCGGGTCCTCCTATTCCCTCCCCGGCTCCCACGTCCTGTCGGCATGTTCTCCCCACACCTCTCCTGTTCCCTGCAGAAGGAGCGAGTTGAACCACACCAACTAGCCATTGACCGGCCCTCACAGAAGCTGCTGAAGTTCCTAAACAAACACTACAATCTGGAGACCACAGTGCCACAGGTCAGAGGGTTCAGAGGGTACATCCTGAGTGTTCACATCGAATTTGTTATTTGGGGGCGAGGAATTGGCACCTTCCCAGCACATTCCCCTCATAAAGGATTCATTTTATACAACTAAGTGTTGGTGGTTGTTTTTTACCATGTCTCATTTTGTAGTCATTTTACTCTCATCTGTTTTGATTCTTCATCATTGCTGTTTTGTATACCTAATAATATGTTTGTGCCCCCAAAATAGCCAGCTCATTTTCACCTCCTTGTTTTTGCAAAGGCCATTACTTATTAAATCAGCATTTATTAAGGGCTGATGATAATGTACAGTTTCTGTCTTCGGGAGCTCGGTCTAACTAAAGCTTTAGATCTCTGTATGTTATTTTGCCCTTCCGAAGGTGGTTGGTGTATAAATAAATGCAATATAATGTTGGTAATACTATCCATTCACTTAACAAATATTTATTGAGCATTTGACACTAGGAATATTTTACTCAACAAAACAGATAAAAGTTTCTGCCCTTATGGAGCTCATATTTTATTGTATTATTATTTTTTCCATATGCTTTTATTTTATTTTTTTCTTAAGAACAGGAATTTATTCTATACCATTGAGACTCCAAAAGTCATTATTGCCTTTTACCTGAGTGGGTTTCGTTTTTTTCTTCTTTAGTTAAACGTATTTTTTTTTTAATTTAATCTTTATTGTTTAAAGTATTACATATTCCCCCTCCTCTCATTGACCACTCCCACCCAGGCCTTCACCACCCTATTGTCTGTGTCCTTGGGTTGGTACCCATATGTGCACCAACCAAGGTCTTTGGTTGATGAGTTCCCACCCACCCTCCCCCACCTTCCCTCTGAGATTCTGCACTCTGTTCCATGCTTCCATGTCTCTGGATCCACTTTGTTCGTTATTTTATTTTGTTAGATTCCACCATATGAGTGAGATCATGTGACACTTGTCCTTCTCTGACCGGCTTATTTCCCTCAGCATGATGCTCTCCAGGCCCCTCCATGCTGTCTCACAGGGTGAGAGGCCCTTCTTTTTACAGCTGCAGAGTGTCCCCTGGTGTGACTGTCCCACAGCTTTCTGTCCACTCTGCTGGCGGGCACGTGGGCTGTTCCCGATCTTAGCTGTTGTGAATTGTGCTGTGAACACAGGGGGCACACATTCTTCCTGACTGGTGCTTTGGGTTTCTTAGGACATGTTCCTAGAAGTGGGGTCACTGGGTCAAACGGCAGTTCCATATTTATATTTAATTTTTAAAAATATATTTCTTGCCGAAACCGCTTTGGCTCAGTGGATAGAGCGTCGGCCTGTGGACCGTAAGGTCCCAGGTTCAATTCCGGTCAAGGGCATGTACCTTAGTTGCGGGCACATCCCCAGTAGGGGGTGTGCAAGAGGCAGCTGGTCAATGATTCTCTCTCATCGATGTTTCTGACTCTATCCCTCTCTCTACCTCTCTGTAAAAAATCAATAAAATATATTAAAAAAATGTTTATTCCTAAATATCTTAATATTTTTGTTGCAATGGTAAATGGATTGTTTGTTTAGTTTCTCTTTCTGAGAATTCACTATCGGTGTATAAAAGAGACATCAATTTTTGGGTGTTGATTTTGTATTCTGCTACATTGCCAAATTCATTGATTAAATCTAGTAGTTTTTTATGGAGTCTTTAGGCTTTTTTCATGTGCAGTATCATGTCAGCTGTGAATAATGAGAGTTTTACTTCCTCCTTTCCAATTTGGATGCCTTTTATTTCTTTTCTGATCTCCGTGACTAGCACTTCAGTATTATGTTGAATAAGAGCAGTGAAAGTGGGCATCCCTGCCTTGTTCCTGTTCTTAGGAAAAATGGTTTTAGTTTTTGCGCATTGAGTATGATGTTGGCTGTAGGTTTGTCATACATGGCCTTTATCATGTTGATATGTGCTCTTTCTATTCCCACGTTGCTGAGAGTTTTTATAAAAACTGGGTGTTGGGATTTTGTCAAAAGCTTTTTTTCCCTTTTTTTATTTTATTGTGGCATGCATTTATGAGACTGACGCGCTGCCTACTGTGCTGAGGCGGCGGTTTATTGTGGCATGCATTTAATTAACTTATAAAACGTTCAAGAGAAATATGTCACATGAGTAACTTTTATAAAGTTTTATTATGGTATAGCTTGTGAAAATAAAAATAAATTACAAAAGGAAAAAAAATAATCATTTCTGGAAAATATACCAAGTCGTAAAAATCTGTATCAAAAGCATAAATTTAAGTTCCAATCAATCTCCCAATAACTTAGATCCTGTCCAATTTCTTGTTTGTTTTTAAATATTTGTATTGATTTTTTTGAGAGAGAGGAAGGGAGACCGAGAAAGAGAAACATGCTGCCCCAGGGCAGAACATCAATCAGCTGTCTCATGCACGCCACCTGCTGGGGGTAAGCCATAACCGAGGTAGATGCCCTTGACTGGAATCGAACCCAGGATCCTCCAGTCCATGACCAATACTGTATCCACTGAGCCAAGCCAGTTCGGCCGACATCTACTTCTTAAGTCATTTAAAACACTGAGAAGGCAATATATTAAACTTTTCATTATCAATAAATATTCAGAATAAACTTTGATTAAATAAGTTTGCATTTAACAGTTAAATATTTATGAGCTAAATAAGTTTTACTTTATTAATTATGCAAATAATAGGAATATTTAAGAGTGTTGGTGGGTAGTAAAAGAATGTCAGTTTCCCAGTAAATGTGAAAGATGAACAGGAACTTAAGCAGAGTATAATTAGTTGTGGATAATATTTTCCCCACACAAAGTATCCCTGCACATTAATGAGTTCATCCAGTGATTGGCATATGGGCTATCCCTGGCCAACAACCCAGAGAATGTTAACTTTCCGCCACACCAGCAAAGACCCTCAGGATACAAGTGCTCCCTCCCAGCTGAGATCCACTCTGGGAAATAAGGTAAACAGACACGAAGGCGCTGGGCCAGCCTGGCCCATCCCCAGCGGTGTCCATGCTGAGTGCCGCAGCACTTGTCATTGGCTGAAGCGGCATGGAATGGGCACAGAATGTTCACATTTGGGATGTGGCTCTGCAGTCGAGAACACGTTCTCCCGGCAGCTGCTCCACCAAGCACATCATCCACTTCCTTCACCTTTCTATTTGTTACCTTATAAGTGATGTCATGCACGTAGGAGCAGCACTGGCCGTCTTCCACGATGAGCCCATTCTCCCAGCCCATAGCGCTGGACAGCACCCCCTCAGGCTCCCGCTGGTTCCTCAGCTCCAGTGGCCACCTCTCCAATGCGTATTCTGTATCTATTGATCATGTGATTTTTATCTTTCAATTTGTTTCTGTCATGTTATCACTTTTGTTTATTTTTTAGTCTTTATTTTTTTTAATAAATCTTTATTGGTCAGATTATTACAGTTGTTCCTCATTCTCCCCCCATAGCTCCCTTCCACCCGGGTCCCACCCAACCCCATGCCCTTACTGTCCTCATTCATAGGTGTATGATTTTTGTCAGGTCTCTTCCCTTACCCCTCACACCGACTTCCCCCCTGAGAATTGTCTATGCCTCTGATTCTATTATTCTGTTCATCAGATTTTTTTATTCACTTGATTTTTAGATTCACTTGTTGATAGATATGTCTTTGTTGTCACTTTGTTGCTCATAATTTTTATCTTTACCATTTTTAAAAAAATATATTTTTTTGATATTTCACAGAGAAGAGGAAGGGAGAGAGATAGAGAGCCAGAAACATCAATGAGAGAGAAACATCGACCAGCTGCCTCTTGCACACCCCCCACCGGGGATGCGCCTGCAACCAATGTACATGCCCTTGACCAGAATCGAACCTGGGACACTTCAGTCCTTAGACCTACGCTCCACCACTGAGCCAAACCGGCTTTGGCTATCTTTACCATTTTATTCTTCTTCCTCTTCTTAGAGAATAGCTTTCAGCATTTCATATAATACTGGTTTGGTGGTGATGAACTCCTTTAGCTTTTATTTATCTGTGAAGCTCTTTATCTGACTTTCAATTCTAAATGATAGCTAATCTTGGTTGTAGGTTCTTGCTATTCATTACTTAGAATATTTCTTGACACTCCCATCTGGCCTGCATGGTTTCCATTCAGAAATCATCTTACAGTTTCCCTTGTAGATAACTGTTTTTCTCTTGCTGCTTTTAATATTCTCTCTTTGTCTTTTCCCCTTGGCATTTTAATTATGATGTGTCTTTGGATTAATCTTATTTGGAGTTCTTTGTGCTTCCTGGACTTGTAAGTCTATTTCTTTCACTAGTATTCTGTCATTGTTTCTTCAAATAGGTTTTCAATATCTTGCTCTCTCTCTTCTTCCGGCAACCCCATAATTTGGATGTTGGTACACTTGAAGTTGTCTAAAAGGCTCCTTACTCTATCTTCATATTTTTGGATTCATTTTTCTTTTTGGTTTTCCATTTTGGTGTTTTTTGTTTCTTCGTATTTCAAATCTTTGATTTGATTATGCAATCCTCTAGTTTGCTGTTCAGCAAATGTGTACTTAATTTCTAATTGGTCCATTTTCGTATCCTTGAGGGTCTCACTAAATTTCTCAAAGGTTTCTAGAGAATTCTTGAATAACCTTATAACTGTGGTTTTGAACTCTATATCCAGTAGTTTGCTTTCCTCCATTTCTTTAGTTTGTGACCTGTTTCTTTGTCTCTGCATTTTGGCTGCTTCCCTGAGTTGATAGAGTGGCTTTGTGTACCAGGTGCCTTTAGGACCCAATGGCTCAGCCTCCCCAGTTACCTGAGGTGGACATTCTTGGTGCACCCCTTTGTGGGCTGGGTGCACAGTCTTGTTGTAGTTAAGCCTTGATGTTGTTGGTATCACTGGGAGGAATTGACCTCCAGGCCAATTGGCTGTGATGACCAGCAGTGTCTATGCTGGGAGAACTGTGCTGGAGACACCCTTATGAGGCAAGACTTGCTTCAGTGGGGCTTTGGTGCTCACTGTGTCTGCCCCCTGA